CTTGAAAGCTTCATGGTTACCTCCTAGAAAATGCTAAAAACATTCTGGGTAGAAGTTCTGCAGAGGAGTCCTGCCCTCCCCAAACATATAAGGACACATACCTGTATTCTGAATTTCATGAATGGGAACCCAGTTTGCTATAATGGGTGTGGTTGTTACTGCTCTATAAAAGTATGATTAATATTTAATACACATTCCTTTGGCTCCACTGGAGTCAAAGGGCCAGATTCCAAATGAACAACTTGGTCCAAGGTTAACAGCCTTCTTGGTTTTGGGGAGTTATTTATTAGACCAGAACCTCCCCACATCATATCTGGCTAGCGTATGCTGCATAGTAGAAAGCTGTTCACAGTGGGCAGCTGGAAATTCCTTTTGCGTAGGTGGCTTATCTTTGATGTCATCGCCATTTTAAGGTCTGAACAATCAAAGCTGTTTGCATTGAAGTGTCAAAATACTTTCTGAAATGTGTTGATGCTTTAACAAGGAGAATGACGCTCATCTGTTCTTTAGCCTCATGGTGAAGTCCACTTACCTTAAACTCAGTGGCCCCAATGCGTCCTAAGCTGAAGGACCATTTTGCACTGATGTGTGAAAGTTAGGGACAGTTCTGAGTGGATGTCCCAAATCACAAAGCATCGTCTCAGGGTCTCTCTCCTCAAAGCCACGAGGCAAGGCTACACCCAGAATGCTGGGAGCGGGGGGGCAGGCATCCATTTTAAGGCCTTGGAAGCACTTCATGCCAAGAACAGTTTGGACTCAGAAGAGGAATCTCATTTGAAGGCCTTACTGGATCTGAAGCACTCAGCTCTCAACAGCAGAATTTGGGATATTGTCTCCAAGACTGGTACAGACCCCAAAGAACTCTTCACTTCTAATTAGTCTTGTAATTCCTGTCTCACCCTAGGGAGCTCAGATCCAAAAGTAGTACTTCAATCAATGTGGTATCTTTAGAGAGAGAATGTGACAATCAATGAGAGTCTCAAGTATCATTTATAGGCATTCAAATGCCTGTCAGATCTTTCTCTGCCCGTGAAATCAGCTAACCATGATCGTACAGTGTAATTCTGTGGCTAAACGTGCTAATGTGATTCTTGGATGTGTAAACAGGAGTAGGAATAGGGAGATTATATTATCTCTGCATCTGGTTCAGTTGCTACTGGAATACTGTGTCCAGTTCTGGTGTCCACACTTCCAGAAGTATGTTGAAAAATTAGAAAGGATTCAGAGAAGAGCCATGAAAATAATTAAAGGATTGAAAACATGCCTTACAGTGATAAATAGATTGAGTTCTGGGTCTATCTTATCAAAAAGAAAGTTAAGGGGTGATCACAGTCTATAAATAACTACATGGGGAACAGAAATTTGATGATAGAGGGCTTTTCAATCTAGTAGAGAAAGGTATAACGAAATCCAATGGCTGGAAGTCAAAGCTGGATGAATTCAGACTAGAAATAAGGGGCAAATCTTTATCAGTAAGGGTACTAAATCATTGGAACAAGCATTGTGGTGGATTCTCCATCCCTGGCAATTTTTAAATCAAAATTGGATTTTTCTTCTAAAAGATATGCTCTAAAAAAGATGGAGGTCTTGCTACTGTGAATGTGCCCGATTTTACAGTGTTATGGTACTAGACATTGTGATATTTTGGCTATAAATATCAAAGTAGTGATTGCATATATCTGACATGCTGCCATTCATAACTCACTTAATCATCTTGAACAGATTTGGCATGTTAGCTCTAAATCCTTGTGTGATGTCCCTATCCACCCCACAAACAGAAGTGAAAATCTGCATAGGCATCTGTAGGGCGCCCCATGCTTATGGTCTGAACATCCTTGTTTTGGTTACCTGCCTTCGGACTCTCAGTCTTGATCAAGATGCCAAAAATGTAACATGTTGCCAAAGGCAATAGTTATTGTGTAATGGGGATGAATCAAGTTCTTGTCTATTAATGCCAGTTTCCACACAGGGTAATTATTAGGATGGGAGATGCCAAATATTTACAATTAAAGCTTGACTTTATTATGAGTATTGCTGTGCTCACAAGAGCCGTATGGCCTCAGTCAGGAGCCTCAAGGATGACAGAATGTGCTGTGGAACTCTGTGATGTCACAGGTGGAGAGATCTGGACATTCCAGAACTTGCTCAACAGGTCTCTGGCTCTCAAACTGGTAATTTCCCCTGGATCTCAAGGCAATGCAGAGTCCTTTTTGCCCTCCCACTTTCCTCTTATCCAAAGTTCAAGAAATAGGGAATTAAAGATCCACCCAACAAAACAAACTCTGGACAGGGAGAAGCCAATGTACAGCAATGCACAGAACAGTCCTACTTATTTGCTGGTCTATTGCCAACAGGCAGCTGCTGCTGCCATTTACTTAATTCTTCTGTAAAGTAGAGCCTATTATGTACTAACTAGGCATTTTCCAAACACTCAAGGTCACTCCCCGTTCCAAGGACCTCAAAACCAAAAGCCCTGTCTACACACAGTTTGTGTACCGCTTTAGAGTTAAAGCAGCACAACCTCCAGGGTGGACGCAGTCATACAAAGAAAAAGGTGACTCTATTGCTTATTCCTGTAAATTTACAGAAATTAGCCATTTCTAAAACAATATAGCTAAAATTGTAAATAGTTCCCTAGGCGGTTCCTACTGATCTATAAACTAACCAGTAGAACAATAAAACATATCCTCCTCATCAACCTCTTCCTTTTTCCTCCTCTTTCCTCATTAATCTGCAAATACAATACAAAATAAAAAAAACAATAAGTTACTTTTCAGGTTGCTAAGTGCAAATTAGAAGATTTACTACTGAACACATCATCAAACCAAAGCATTAACAGTTACGGAAGTCACAAATTAAAGTTAAATTAACCATAAATTGGTGCACATGAAATAACACGAAGGAGAAAAAATCCCCAAAACCAGTAATCGAACAACCTTAACTCTGCCCCTTTATTTATATTGCTATTTTAAAGCACAATCCAACTTCTATTGAAAACAATGATAATAACTGCAAGGTCTAATAAAGTCTAAGGAAAGACTGAGTTTTGTCACATGGACAGAATTAATATTATTTGTCTGTTGATCACAGAGTATTGTTTAAACGAGGAGTACTTGTGGCACCTTAGAGACTAACAAATTTATTTGGGCATAAGCTTTCGTGGGATAAAACCCACTTCACCAGATGCATGGAGTGGAAAATACAGTAGGAAGATATATATAACAGTACATGAAAAGATGGGAGTTGCTTGTTGTTTGGTGTGTATATTAAGGTTGGTGTCAAAATTGTTTATGTAACCTTAGCTAGTGATTTCAATTTTTTTAAATGTTTGAGTTTAAAGTTGTGTTCAACAGTCCTTTAACTACACAGCGCAATCTTAACTGTAATTTAGCACAATTTTTCTTAATGTTCTGTTTTTTAAAATTATTTTATAATATATGTTCAATGCAATTAAAAGTTGGATTAAAGTTACAATGGGAAGTGATTGGCTCTATAATACAAATACTTATTCTTATATAGTGTTTTTCAGACATAGATCTCAAAGTGCTTTCTAAAGACCCAATGTACCTATATACTTGTTGGTCCTTATATACATTATAACTGCCCTATGTGCTACAGACCCTGTTTGCTCTATAATCCAGGAAATCACTATAAATCATTTGTCATTTGACGTTATAGACATCAATAGTTTTGTCATCTAAAATTGTATTTGTCTCTGTGTAAGCTTGAATGCTTGTCCCTTTCACTAACAGAACTTGGAAAGAGATCACCTCACCTACCTTGTCTTTGGAAATTCATTAACTCAAGTTTTCACTGGACATTCTGAGACACAATTTTCTTTTCTTTTAATTTAATTTTTTTAGGCCAAGAAATAATACAGTTAATTTCCTTTGGCAAGTCTGTCATGTGTCCATCCCACGACTGATATTGGCAGGCTCCCAAGAGCTAATCCATGTAACCTAGTTCTTCTCCAGTGTCAGTTATTTTATTACTACCTTAAGAAAATCACTTACATTGTGTACCAGATTGCTTTTCCGATCTGGTGATTAGTGGTCTGTATATAGCTTTTTTCACAGTATTTTTAACAACCTCTTGTGTATTTACCATTGCTTTGATCTGCCCTTCTTCTGAGCTTCCTAAAAACCCTAACAAGTCAGTGGCAATAGAAAGCAGTAAGGATTTTTGATGAAATCTGAAGTTTGCCTCCAAAATCTGCAAGATTTTCACAGGAATTTTAGCCAAAATCATCAGCATAAGGTTTTAGAGTTAACAGCCTACTTCATGAATAAAAACTTGTCTACACTAGCCTTTCTTCTGAAATATTTCCTTATCACCAGTTGCAGACCCCTCCTGGAAATGCTAGTGCAGACAAGGTCATAGAGTTTAAGGCCAAAAGGGACCATCCTACCATCTAGATGGGGATGTTTATACCGCTGTGGCATGGCGTTAGTAGTCCTTCATGGGTCAGGAGGCCTCAGGAGTCCTGTCTATCCTAAAGGTCCCTCCTTTATTACTAGCAATAAAGTCAAACTAGTGGTACCAACATTGGGTATTTTTGCATGAAAAAGCCTCGTGCAGACTCAGGTTAGCTTACTCAGGAAGGTAACATAGAACTGAGTCTCTTCGGGAGATTTTATTTGCAAGCAGAAGGGCTAGAAACTGGAATTTTTTAGGTGGAATCTTATTTGGGGCGGAATTTAAGGGGTGCTAAATCTGCCTGGGGGTGCAGTCCCAGACAGTTCATGAAGCGAGGCTCAGCCAGGTCCTAGGCAGACTGGAACTTCAGGGGCTTTGAGGAGCTCGGACCCCTCTCCTCCTGCCTGACCCCCTCCCCTCCCCTCCCGCACGCCCTCTCTCCGCCTCATCCCGCCCCCCTTTGCCATTCCCCCCCCCGTGTCACGTGATGCCGGAGCAGGCAGCGCCTTTTGTCATAATGCGCCGCGTCACGTGAGGAAAAGAGGGCGTGGCGCACTGTGAGGCGCACGCGCAGTGCGGCGCTTCTCGCCCCTCGCCCGTGCGGTTCCCGGCTGGGAAACCCCCTAGTCGAGCGCTGAGGCAGGGGCCGCTGGAGCCGCCATAGCGAGAAGCCGGGCCTCAGCGCGGCTGTGTGAGGAGCCCGAGCCGCACCGTCCGCCCGGCTGGGGTGTGAGGAGGAGGAGGAGGAGCAGCAGCAGCAGCAGCGCCCCCGCCGCCGGGGCCCAGATCGATCGCTGCGGGGCCCAGGCCGGAGCCGCCGCCATGGAGTCCTGAGGCCTCCGGCAGCCCAGCCTGACAGCGCGGGGCCTGGCCATGGCGGAGCGTGGCGGCCTGTGAGCGCTCGCCGGGCCCCGAGCGCGCGCGCAGCCCCCGCCCCCCCCCCCGAGCAGGCTGCCCGTCGGCCGGGCCCGAGCGGGCCTCAGCTCCCCCCGCAGGCCCCGCCCCGTCCCCGGCGCGGGACCCGTCTGCCCCCTCAGACCGCGGCCCCCGCGCGGAGCAGGCCCCGCCCCCGACCATGTCCTGCGTCCATTACAAGTTCTCCTCCAAGCTCAACTATGACACGGTCACCTTCGACGGGCTCCACATCTCCCTGTGCGACCTCAAGCGCCAGATCATGGGCCGCGAGAAGCTCAAGGCGGCCGACTGCGACCTGCAGATCACCAACGCGCAGACCAAAGAAGGTACGGGGCGGGGCGGGGCGCGGCGGGCACATGGCGCCCCGGGGGGACCACTGCCCCTCCCTCCCTCCCTCCCCCCGCGGGGGCAATAAACCGAGAGGCCGGCCTGAGGGTGCTCGTCGCTGCGGAGGCCGGCCCGCCCGCCGCGGGCTCTGGGGGCTGGGCTGGGCTGGGCTCTGTCTCGCTCGCGCATCGTCACCGGTCGCGGAAGCTGAACGGGCTGATCGGCGCTGTTGGTGCGGGAGTCGGAGTTCAGGCCCCGCTCCCTCTCCGGCGGCCGCGCAGGGGCGCAAAGTATTTAACCGACGTAAAAGCTAATAAAGGTGGATTTTGGTAACTGAAATCAGTAGATAGGGCTTGGAATGTATGTTCAGGGAGCGTAAAAGGCCACTGCTGTAGTCTTTTTTCTCTCTCTCAATAACTACCGCTGACAAATTACGTCCGTTGTCATAGGTAGAGTGCCCGGTTTAATTGGCTGGGCTTTGAGCTGCTGTGGCAAATCCTGAATTCCTTGACACCGAAGTCTTGATTTCCTGGAACTCTTCTGGGTTTCTTGGTTTATAGGCTGGCAGGGAAACATGGGGCAAAGTTTTATAGTAACAAAGCGCCCGAATTCTACTGGTATCAAAAAAGGAGGTTGAAAGATGCAGAACTTTAATACAATTGGGGAGGATTACTTCCTGAACTACACACTGTGACAATACAGAATCTTTGAAGTTAGTTTTGTCTGCTGAGAGATTACAGAATTAGATAATGGTGGTTAGATGGCAGTTACAGAAACTGGGCTCATTGTTAGCTCCTTGGATAAAGAGGAGCTGTTTAGGTTTTTTCTGTAATGTATATTCATGTTATAGTGTTCATTAAATCCTTACAACATGCTTTTCAAAGAGAGAGTCACACACAAACATGTAGATATGTTTGGTTTTGCATTAACAGGTAACTCCCATTCTTTTCTTAATCAAACATAAGACTTACAGTCATTTGGAAGTTCTTTAAGTTCAAACTGTCAATCACTTTTTTATTGTCTGTCTACTTTGCTACAAACTAATTGCATCTGCTCACCTGGTTAAATCCCATTTGAACCTTGATATATTTGGTACATGACCTGTCCTATTGTAAATGGCTTTGTGAATAACACACACACTTCTCAGAAGTCTTTAGAAATACCATTATTTCCATTCAGTGAATAGGGCTGCTGGCTCTGGGGGGATTCTCATTTCATATTTCTCCACAGGAGTCTTAAATTGGTGGATCAGCCATTGGTATAACTTTAGCATCTGATTAAATTTAGAATTCAACTTGCAACAACTTTAAGAAGTGTCTGACTTCTAAAATGCAATATATTACCTTTAAAGGAATGCTACCAATTTAGTCAACTAAAATTGAAAAGTGAAACCTTTGGATTTGGATGCTATATCTGCCATTGTCTGCCAATTGTTTCGTGTTTCCTTTCCCTGCTGTGTGAAAGACTCACAGACAGAATATGCAACTGAAACAAAGACTATCAAATGCATGGGAAACTGAAGATAAATTAAGAAAAAAAAAATGTTGTTAGGCCCTGAGCTTTATAGGATTGGACCCTAAAGGTGTTTGTAGTAGAGGCAGGTAAACAATCTTCAGAGAAAAGTGTAACTTTAAAGAGACTCTGACAACTTTGAGGTTAGGGTTTATGGCTCATTCATTTTGAATTTGTATTGATTTGATGAGTTCTTTGTAAAAGGTTAATGTTTTCTTTAGAGAATAAACACAGAATTCCATAATGTTTCACCAGACTGTTAAGTTGAGTGCTTGCCTTCCTAAAAGGAAGTGTTGATTAAAATGGAAGGAACATAACTCAAGTTCCATTCATGGACTGACTAGCATCAGTCTGTTAGTTTTGGTTAGGACTGATAAGTTTTGGATAAGAGGAGGAAAGATAAGATACGGAATAAATATTGTTAATGTGACTTTAAATCTCTGGAAATGGAATGCTGAAATAGGTGAGAGAGTTTATTTTGTCTGGTATGATTATTTGGGGAGGGTTCATGTAGAACTTGGAGGGAAATGCAAAATGTTGCAAAAAAGTATTGGCTCTTGAAAGCAAAGCTGTATAATAGTAGATTTATAAATACGTAAACTTTTCTATTTATCTACCCCAAATCCCTCTGCCTGGTGGCCTTGAGTTTCAGATGCCTAGCCAACTTACTGGTCATAAATTGTAAACTTCTTCAGGATAACAACGAAAAAGATAAAGAAAAATCCTTACAATTCAGCTTCATGTTTTTCATTAAATTCAATTTGATTAGTACTTAAATACTACAGCGTACTTTGTGCTATACAAGACTGAATGAAGGGAGTTTTTGCCCCCAGAGACCTTGCAATTGAGAGGAAAACTCAGGAAAAATTTAGTTTCAAATTATTTTTCTTATTTACTTTTGAGCATTATGGAAGAAGTAAGTTTTTAGAGGTGATAGGAATCAGGTTATGGTGGTGGTTTAGTGAACTAGGATAGTGGTAAAAGATAGTGTGATACCTCAGGGAGAGGTATTATTACGGCTTTGCTTGGATAGGACAGATGCAGTAGTAGACAGGTTTAAGATTCAGCCTTTTTCTTTTTCCCCCTTCTTCCCCCTCTGGTCGCGGATTGAGATGTTTGTGTTAACTAAAGTGGTCTGTTTTATAATTGACTTTCTTTTCCAACCTGATTCAGTTAGGAATATTACAGTCCTTGAAAGCAAGTTGACGTCAAACATTGGGTTGTGATATCGTTGAATAGATATGGCAAGATACACAAGTGAATTAGATGCTATTTACACACACAAATACACATGCACACACACTGGTAAAGTTGTAGGAAAATTTAGTGAGACCTGTAGGTAAAATGTCCATCTTCATTGCCGCTGTGCAGTTGAGCAGTTGTGCAGCTAAGTGTTTTGTGGATAAGTTAGTGTTGTAAATAGCTTGGATAGATAGAATTGTGTGGTACATCTGCTCATCATGAAGTCTGTTACTACTCAATCCAGGAACATGCATTAATTTTCAAAAGGATCCTCTACCTCTCACAGTCCTACCATGCAAAAATGTAGCTGTAGACACTAGGAGATGCAGCAGTATGGCTGAGAGCTTTTTTTTGTAGTCCCTATTGTTGAATTTGTGATACTTTTAAAGAAAAGGAGTACTTGTGGCACCTTAGAGACTAACCAATTTATTTGAGCATGATGCATCCGATGAAGTGAGCTGTAGCTCACGAAAGCTCATGCTCAGATAAATTGGTTAGTCTCTAAGGTGCCACAGGTACTCCTTTTCTTTTTGCAAATACGGACTAACACGGCTGTTACTCTGATACTTTTAACATTACTTCTCAATCAGTGGAAGTATCCATGTCAGATTTTCCTCTCTTCCACTACGGTGTCTAGTGACCTCATATATTTGAGTGAAGTCTTAGTTCAGTGGCCCATATGTAGTCACATTTCATTGATGTATGTTTTAGTTGTGAAGGTGTTCTTTCTCCTTCTTATTACATGAGTTGTCAATAAACATTCAGTTGCAACTGTTGTACTAGCTGTCATGTTCAGCAGATGAATTATATGTAGGCGTACTATGAATGTTAAATGCTATAGTTAACAGTAATAAATATGGAGGTTACAACTTCAAATGCACAGAAATTGAGCACTTAACACTTCCTTGATCACTGTCTGCTATAATGTGTACACTATGTCTAATATGGAAGTTGAGTACATAGCCAAAACCAGTACTTGCATACTTTATTAATGCAAGTTTGAATTAATTAGCCAACCCTTCTGTAATTCAATATTTATTGTTTTTAATTGCTGACTTCCTTAGCAGTTTCTCTTTCAAAAATGAAACTACGCAATAGGATCAGAGGATAAGCAACAGCCAAGGTTGTGCATTGTTTCGCTGCAGACAGCTTTCTACAAGGCTGATTTAACAAGGCAGAAACTTCAGTCTGTGGCATTGTATGTATATACTAGACAACTGTTGAACTGGTTCTGTAGCACCAATTTAGGCACATGCTCTTTGGTGCTGAATCATGTTAAGAACACATGCTCAGCCTCAAACCACACTAGCGCTTTCTGAACCATTCTAATTACAGTGCCTTATGAATACTTTTCCCACAGTTTCTGACACAGCTCACAGAAGCAGTGATTTTGGGATACTTGAAGAGACAACTGATACAATGTGGAACAGTAATGGGAGGACTAGTTAAATTTTTTCAGCTAGTTTTCATATGGACTGGCACTAAAACAGTCAGGCTGAAACAACTGAGGATCAAATGGTAAGATGTTCAAGTAAGGTGTTCAAGCTCACACTAAACATTCTCTGAAATTGAAAAAGCAAAACCAGTAAAGTTCAGACTTTGGACACCCTTCGTATTTCTAAGGTGGTAAATAAGCAGTATGGGACACTTCCTTAAAAGGGAAAAATACCTTTCATGCCCACTTTATACATACACTTACAAAAAGAAAACACATAATCTATTTCAGATCATACTTTTATAATAAGTGGAGATTTTCAGACAGTACAGAATTAATCAAAAATTGCAGGTTTCAGAACGCCTGTTAGTCTGTATTCCAAAAAGGAGTCTTTCACCTTAGAGACTAACCATTTAATTGATCATGGAATTCATAAGCTGTCTCCTTGATTTCATGACCGGTTTTCTCCATTAACCTCCCCCCCCACACAAATCACTCTCCTCTTGCAGCCCATCCAAAGGACAACCTTAAACTTCATACTTCTTTATTTCATATTTTCTCCATTAACCAGGTGTTTGGCAGTTTTTCTTGTAGATTTTTTTCAGGAGTTCAGTCTTCTTGAGTGGCAGTTGTTCTTGCCCTACTCCCTTGCCACGCATGGCAAGGGAAATGAGCAGTTCTTCATCCTCTCCTTTGGCCTTCTGTGTACTGGAAAAAATGTGTTCTTGTGTTCTTGCAAGCTCTGATGTTTTTTTTTACCACAGTCATCTAATCATAGAATCATAGAATATGAGGGTTGGAAGGGACCCCAGAAGGTCATCTAGTCCAACCCCCTGCTCAAAGCAGGACCAATTCCCAGTTAAATCATCCCAGCCAGGGCTTTGTCAAGCCTGACCTTAAAAACCTCTAAGGAAGGAGATTCTACCACCTCCCTAGGTAACGCATTCCAGTGTTTCACCACCCTCATAGTGAAAAAGTTTTTCCTAATATCCAATCTAAACCTCCCCCACTGCAGCTTGAGACCATTACTCCTCGTTCTGTCATCTGATACCATTGAGAACAGTCTAGAGCCATCCTCTTTGGAACCCCCTTTCAGGTAGTTGAAAACAGCTATCAAATCCCCCCTCATTCTTCTCTTCCTACTCTTTAAAGGAGTAAAAAGGCTTGAGCCCTGTCTAAATTGGTTTCTACCATGCAGCTTTAGTGATGCCACTTAAATGCTATCTACAATACAAAACTTGTTGTGTTAACCACCATTTGATTCCCCCAACACATCTTTAACACATTTTGTATGTATTAAAATGTTTCCAATGGTACACAGGCATTACATCCACTGTATAGATGACCCTTTCTTGAAGAAAGAAAAGGAGTACTTGTGGCACCTTAGAGACTAACCAATTTATTTGAGCATAAGCTTTCGTGAGCTAATTGGTTAGTCTCTAAGGTACCACAAGTACTCCTTTTCTTTTTGCTAATACAGACTACCAGAGTAACTAGCTGTTACTAACAGCTAGTTACTAACAGAGTAACTAGCTGTTACTCTAAAACCTTGCTTGAAGAAAGGCTAACCACTGTGCTAATATCTATTGCAGTGCTCGTGTGGATAGGGATTGCTGGGGTAACATCCCTCAATTGTACAAGTAATCCTCATGCTATGATCTCACAGTGCAGCATTCACTGCCTAGGTGACCTTCGTCAGTCTACTTCCTGAAGTTTCTTGTGTAGGGTCAAGTTGTGCAAATAGCTTTACATACAGAATGGAACTCAAATGTATGTTGTTTCCATGGCGATCAGTTTCTTCTACAACTTTGCTGAAATTATTCTTGTTCTGACAGCAGCATGTTTTGGAGGTGTCCATCATGTGACCATAGAATTAGCTACCTGAGGTTGCTGTGCAAACACTAATGGCCATATAAGGAGATAAGGCCCAGATGATCTTGGTCATTCATAATAGTGTGAGACTGGGAGTCTGAGTGACTGGTGGAGATGGGCATCACTAGAGGGGAAGGCAATGCCAAGAAAAGGTAAAGGGATTGAACATCCTGTATAATGAGGCCGGAGCTAGTGGCAGTAGGCCTGGTTCAGGGCAAAAAGTGTGCTCCTTTTATAATGAACTGGACAAATTATTTGAGGCTCAACCTTCCAGAGCCACAGAAATACTTCTGCATAGCACAAAGGTCCCATGCATTGCATTGATGGAAGAGGGCTCCATCAACAATTTGGACCACTGGAACATGAAGCTAGTTCTGAAGATGCCAGGCATGTTGCTGACCTCATAGGAACTGTTTTGTGTGCATGAAAGATCCAGAAATAGCAGCCAAGATAGATTGGCAGGACAAGGAATCTGAAAACACAGAGCTCTCAACACCAGGTATATGTCATTTTATTGTAAAATATACTGGTGGGGACAGGGTGTGGGAGTCTGTGACTTAATTATTTGGGGAAGAGTTTTCTGGGTTCTTATGAATGTCATTTCTTGAAAGGGCAGATAATAGTCTTACGTGAGGATAGAAATGTCCTCTCCTGCTCCACAAGTCCTTTCTCCACCACCTAGACAGTATAAGCTGTAGCTGATGAGCTTTTTCCATACCTAGTTGCTTTGGTTCTCCCCATAATTCTACAATATTGGCATGCCCCTACATAACTCCCCCACCCTCTGGCTGTATGAGCCATTCTTCCTGTCAGGGTGGAAGTTTGCCTCAGCATGGTGGATTCAAAGAGCAAGAGACGACAATGTTAAAAAAAAAAAAAAAATCTAAAAATGAGAACTTCACTGAAAAAAAAAAAAAAAAAAAAGTGTTGGCTGTTTTAAGCTATATAACAGACTGGTGCACCAGATTAGCTGCCATCATCCTAGCAGAAGTTTAAGAGCAGATTTTGACAAGATTCCTTAATAGGAGTGGTGTGTATATGTGTGGAAACGGAAATAGAAGTGAGGTGGCAAAATTGCAAATAACACAATTTAAGTTAGTAAAGACTGAGGAAGACTAACATGAGTACTCTCATCAAGCTGTGGTGATGGGCAGTGTGATGTCAGATGAAATTTAACGTTGACCAACACAAAGTAATGCAAATTGAAGATAATGGTTTGAACAATTCATACTTTACTGCATTTTAAATTAATTATCCTCAGGAAAAGATCCGGGCATTATTGTGGACAGCTCAATTAAGACTTCTGCTCAGTGTGTAGCAACAGTCAAAAAAGCATCTATTCAAATAAATTAGCAATGGAGTTAGCAGCTTCTCCCTTCATTTCCTCAGGAACTCCTTTATCCCCAAATGCCAGTTAAATGGTTTCAAGTGTTGTGTTTTCCTGTAATAAGTAAACATTGGTAGACCAGCACCTATCCCCTCAATTCCATTCTTGGCCTTAATCTAGCACCCTAGTGAACCCTCTTTCTTATAAATGTTTTGAATTCATTGAGTCTAATCCAGGAAGAAAATTACTTGTAAGAAGGTATTAAAATTTGAAACTGAATTTATTTCTGTTGCACGTCTTGGTATTCCTAGGGTTAGGGATCGATGAGTATTGCTATGGTTAACTCATTCCTTATTTTTCACTATAGTGGCCACACCAGTAGGATGGATGTCCCAGAAGAGGCATGGTGTCATGCAGAATAGATTCACAGTGGTGAAATATCTGTCAGTGTACTGGTTCAAGGAACACAAAATGAGGGCCAATTTGCAATATAGGGCAAAGCACAATGAGGCAGGACTATTTCAGGAAGAGGAGAAATTAGAATGGGAGACGGAGTTCTAAAGGGAAACGTTCAACTGATGCAAAGTGTTCAGGAAAATGACTCTGTTGATCGAACAACTGATCCCTGCATTGCCTGTAAAACACAACATTAAATTAGGATAATAGTTATGAGGCTGCCACCTACTCTTCAGCTCCCTTGCTTTCTATTCCTCTGGCAACTTGCGCCTTTAGAAGCCAATGGAAAGGAAAATTGGAATCCCAGTAAGATAATTTGTGAATGAATGTCTGTTGCCTTTCATGTACAAATGTTACTTTGTTTTGTTTTTGCAGCTGACTTGCAAATGTTTGTATAATAAAACATTTTCTTAAAAATAAAGGGTTTGTGCATCAAGCATTATGTTCTTTAATAGGAATACATGAATTCACTCCTCCATGAAACTTCCTCACCAGAACTAATACAAATCACTAATAAAGCATAAGAAAAAACAATGCATTAAAATCACCAAGAGTAAAGCTCACAACTGAAAGGCACTTCACAGAAGCAGCTGTCAGTTACTATGCTCTGGTACATGAAATCACTCCTCCATAAATTCATCCACTATACAAATCAAGATAACTGGATAATTAAATGCCAAACACAAGAAGCCCACAGCAAAGAAATATAAATGGCTAAAAATAAAACAATATTTACTTCGCAACACTAAACCAACAGTTTAAAAGTGTGTGTATACAAAGCATTTCTGAAGAGGATTGCACAATGTTTGTATTTAAGTGACAGTCTCAGATGCAACTGCTTGTGTGTCCAGCTGTGCATAGGTTGCTGCATAGCTAGTTGCCTACTTCTTCAGCTCTCCATAAAAGACTACCTTTGTTTTAATATATATATTTAAAAATGCAGCAGGCAGATGTTACATTGGTCACTGAACTGCCTTTGGAGGTCAACAAACATCTCCATTTTATTTTTAGTCTCACAAAACCTTATGCTTCTCTAGCCACCACCATGCGCACCTGATGTGTATGCTTGAATTGATATCTCTTCAGTCTGGTGTAATCTGGGAATAGATTAATTAGAAATAGAGGAAACGGGCATGTGGGATCACCAGAATCACAGTGGGGACAAATGCCACTGTCAGCGTTGTAGTCCTACTCTGCCCATCTTTTAGAAGTCCGGCTGTTTGAAAAATTGTGCATCTTGCACTTTGCCTGGCCACCCTATATAAATAACCAGGAAACTGTCATAAGTCTCTCAAAGCCATGTCACAATTGAGCAGTAACTTCCTCTGTTAATCTACGTTTTGGACTTTATATGGGAATATGAATTCACAGATTGGGCACATGAGTTCCCTCAATAGCGCCCGCATTGTTCAGGAATCCCAGTTGTTTGAATTTCTCAATGATCATTGGCACACTACACTGTCTTGATCTTGATCCCACTATGTCTTCCCCTATATGCCTCCATGACTAATAATTTAGCCATGTTTCCTGAACCCAGACTGATGTCCACTGCGTTGAAACCATTTGGGGTGGGGTAGCCAGCTGCCATAGAGAGTCAGACCTCTTTCATGGCAAGAAGTTTCATCCTGAGCAAGCTAAATTAGTCTTGGAAACTCAGTTACCACTCACTGTTACACTATAGCAGAGGTAGTCCCAAAACTCACATTTTGAATCTGAAAGTAACCTGATGTTGGGTATTGTTTTTTAAAGACTTGCAGGTTTATGTGAGCTTGAGGTTAGATCAGAATGTGTTTCACAAAGACAAATTCAACACTATGTAGAACTTATTTTAAATGTTTAGCTTTTTAAAGTGTTAAGTCTTTCTTTTTGCTAAACCTACGATTTTGTCTTAAAGTGGTTTTACTTTGAAAAGTGAATCTATCTACAAGGGGCATTGTGGAGTTTTTCTCAATTACTTCCTAGACAGTTGCTTAGTTTAAGAAAGAATAGACACATTTCCATAATTAAAAGAAATCCAGTTTAAACTGTTAATACAGACTTTCTTCTACTTTGTTTTCAATCCAAACATCAAGTGCTGAAAGTGAAACTGATGGCATTGATTTTTATTGAGCTTGAAGAAATGCCAAAAATAAACACAATAGTGATAAATTGGCTTTTTTAAATTTTCACTTTTAATATTCAAACATATTTTTAGTAACTTAAGTAAATAAACGCATTATAGCATATTTAAGTTTGAAAGTTTAAAAGATTACTATTCCGAACTGCCTGCCATGCAAACTCTACTTCAGATCTGTATTCACTGTAGCTTTTGCATAGTTACCAGTTCAGTTATGAAGATGTTATGGGCCAAGCTGTCCTCATTTTACAGTGAAATCCTACATTTGCCATGGGTTGGATCTCTTGAGTAAGAAAGTACCTGTTTAGTCACCTTTCTGATTATAACACTGTAGAACTTGCCTGTGTGTGTGTTTGCAACAACCCTCTAGAATTGGTGGTCAATTAATAGAAATCTACTATTTATTTGTGTGGATTAATTTTAACCTTTTCAGTATTTATTTTAAAATTCTGGGTTTGGTTTTTCTCAGTTAAATGAATTCTTCTAAATACCTAACAAATTGCATATGAAAAAGAGAAATGTGTTTTTTGGGAATGGAAATTGATCTTTCTTACCGCATTTTTACTCTTTTCAGAATACACAGATGATAGTGCCCTGATTCCTAAGAACTCATCTGTAATTGTTAGAAGAATCCCTATTGGAGGAGTTAAATCTACAAGCAAAACATATGTCATGTAGGTATTCATAAAATCAAATACTCTATCAGGTGTTGCGGCTATTAGACTTTGGTAATGAATAGTTTGCTAGAAGCATTCAAATGTGTCTAGGTTTTCTTCTTTTCATAAGAGTTACTACTGGTTCACGTTGTAGCTGAAAGCATGAGACCTGTAACCTCTTGATCTTTGCCAGAGGGATGGCTTGAATATCTAGCCTTCTTGGGACTCCAGATTCTAGTCCCACCATTACATTCTGAGGTAGATAGAGTTCTGTTCAGTTTATTCTGTGAGTTGGTCTTTTGGTTGTGCCCTTAAACTGAGGCCCTTTTTGCTCTATATTGACAGGAAAGATTTCATAGCACTTTTTATAAGAAAAACCTATAATGCTTGGCCAAAGTGCCCTCTCTCATCTCTTATGCATGTTTGTGTGTGTGTGTAAAATATATATATATATATATATATATATATACACGCACTCATTCCCATGTCAGAGATGACTACTTGTCAGTAAGTGGATGGGTGTACTTCTGTCTTGGGACAGGGCAGGACAAGTACTTTACCAACAAACAACTAGTATTAGTATTGGCAACAATCATGGAGTCTTTCATAGAAACCATACTGGAAAGACCAAGGTCCACCATTCTGTATATCTTCCAAACACAGGAGGTTTTATGGGGGATATGCCTGCCAGATTCCAAGAGACAATCACTGCTTCAGTGGAAGGCAAAAAGAACAAGGTTCCCAAATGTGTGTGGTGAGGGAGGTGATAATCCCTCCCCACTCTGAAATTCAGTAATCAGGTCAGCCATTTTGCATGTGAACAAGATTAAAAGATTTTCATTAATTCTGTTTTATACTATGTTACCATTGAGCGCCAAATGTCTGTTTTCCCTGTTAATCCCAGTGTGGAGTATCAGATGTAGTGTTAGCTAAAATGTCAGAAATTTCAAAGAATGAAGTCAGGATTGCAGGTTGCTTGTTACCCTTCTTTCCTCCTGTATTATCCCACTTCTACATTAGTTTCACTAGCTTTGTTGGAATGAGTCATTTTAATCTGTGGCTGAGCAGACAGCATCTTCCTGGTGCTTCAATGCTATTCCAAAGTAAAGTGTTAGATAGTAACAGATAAGTTATTGAATAGAATAAGAATCTGGATAGAAATCTGTAGGGGGTACAAAAAGAATGGTGCATCTTGCTCTCTCCATAAAGGCTGCCCATTGCTTCTGTGGTGTTTCTAGCCTAACAAGTAGAAGGCAAAGTGCAGAAGTGACTCCTGAGTAGTTGCATACTGTGTGCCGATTTAATTATTAAGCTGCTCATTAGTATAGTTAACTTAAAAATAAGCAGCTTTGAGATTTCAAGCCCAGAACTACAGTATTGTTGTATGCAATGCCTTTCAAAATTTACTGTTCATCTTGTAGCATGTTCTTCAAGGTAAACACATTGATCAACAAATGTGTGGTGTATATCTTAAAGAACTTCCTCACCTATCCCCACCTTTGGGATGTCGTTACCTCTGATTTGATTGTGAGCCTGGAACAGTTTTCCTAGTAGTGACTGTTGTAAGCACAAGTCCTACATGCATAAATAAATTCCATGCGAAGCATTAAACTGCCTCAGCTCATGGGAGACTTTTCGCAACTTCATTAATTAAATATACAACTCTTATTAACAATACCAACAATTGCATGCCTAGTTCTCTAAGTAGTTTGCAGATCCAGAATCAATATGTAGAACCTCAACACACTTTCAAATGTAATAAAGGAATTCCTAAATACTGTAGAATATTCAGGATTTATTTTGAGCAAATTCTGGTAATTAAGACTTTTTTTTTGTCACAGGACTCCTAAACCGCACAAAATCCTAGAAACTTCTTTCAGGTGATGTTTCTACTACTACTTTTAGTCAATATAGCATATATAAAAGGTTTACTATCTGGGCACTTTCGTGGCTAAAATCAGCAGATCCCTCACCAGGGTGTTTGGGCTTCCACAAAGAAATCCTGTATGAGTACCACATTGCTGAGGATTTATAGTATTATTCACTGTACCTCAAACATTCTACTTTTTAGCACAATTCTTACAAGTTAAAATTCACATTTCAAACAATAGAATCCAATAATATTTCAATATCAGACACATTTCAAACAATAGAAATGTAGGGCTGAAGGGACCTTGAGGTAATCTAGCCCATCCCCCCATGCTGAGGCAGGACCAAGTATACCTCTACACCATCCCTGACCCGGTGTTTGTCTAACCTGTTCTTAAAAACCTCCAATGATAGGGATTCCATGATTTTCCTTGGTAATCTATTCCGGTACTTTCCTAACCTTATAGTTAGGTTAGATGCTAGGAAGATTTTTCTGAGTCTCCCTTGCTGCAGATTAAGCTTCTTGTTCTCCCTTCAGTGGACATTGCGAACAATTGATCACTGTCCTCTTTATAACATCCCTTAGCCTATTTGAAGACTATCCGGTCCCCCTCAGTCATCTTTTCTCAAGACTAAACATGGCCAGTTTTTTTTACCTTTCCTCATAGGTCAAGTTTTCTAAACCTTTTATCATTTTTGTTGTTCTCCTCTGGACTCTACAATTTGTCCACATCTTTCCTAAAGTGTGGCACCCAAAACCGAGCACAATATTCCAGCTAAGGCTTCACCATGTCAAATAGAGTGGAACAACTATCTCCTGCATTTTACATACATGCACCTATTAATACATCCCAGAATATTAGCCTTTTTTTGCAACTGCATCACATATTGGTTCATACTTAGTTTGTGATGTACTATAATCCCTGGATCCTTTCTGCCGTACTATTGCCTGGCCAGCTATTCCTCAGTTTGTGTTTATGCATTTGATTTTTCTTTCCTAAGTGTAGCACTTGGCATTTTCTTTATTGAATTTCATCTTGTTGATTTCAGATTGATTCTCCAATTTGTGTAGGTCACTTTGAGTTTTAATCCTGTCCTCCAAAGTGCTTGCAATCACTCCCAGCTTGTCATCCCCAGATTTTATAAGCATACTCTGCATTCCATTATCTAAGTCATTAATGAAAATGTTGAAAAATACCAGACCCAGGACAGACCCTTGCAGAACCCAGCTAGCTATATCCTCCTTAATCTGCAGCAAGGGAGACTCAGAAAAATCTTCCTAGCATCTAACCTAACTATAAGGTTAGGAAAGTACCGGAATAGATTACCAAGGAAAATCATGGAATCCCTATCATTGGAGGTTTTTAAGAACAGGTTAGACAGTTTGACAGTGAACCATTGATAACTACTCTTAGTACAGTTTTTCAGCCATTTGTTCACCCCTTTGATTTCATCTAGAGCATATTTCCCTAGTTTGTTTGAGAATGTCATGCGAGACTGTGTCAAACGCCTTACTAAAATCACAATATATCATGTCTACTACTTCCTCCCTTCCACTAGGCCAATAACTGTCTAGACTACCACTCTTTTTCAGAAGCTAGAATAATAATCAAATACAGTCAGTGAGACTCAGAGCTGATCCTTAGTATAACTGCATTAGGAATGTCAGAGTTGTTTGGACACTGTAAGCCCTTGCTTAGATAGGTGATAGTCTGAGAATACAGAATTGTAGCATGAAGCAGTTCATATTTAGGATCATTAATATGTTGGCAATTGTCCAAATGCAGACTTGTTGAATTTTAAATTCAGTTTTTACTAAATAAATTTTATTCCACAAACATGAGTCTTACAATACTTGTTTTGAAAATACAAAATATAAATGTAACTTCAAAGTAATGCTGTGACGCCCAAGGGAGAACAGTTTCTCTAGTCACCTAAATTTCTATATTCACTAAATTATCAGAACATATAATATTGGTAATCACAGCATAGTATGTTTTCATTGTTTGTTTGAAGGATGTAAACAGTGTTCTTATTCTGACAACTTTTTATTTCTTCTTCTAGAAGTCGAACTGAACCAGTGAGTGGAACTTCAAAAGCAGTATGTAAAAACACAATCTCACACTTTTTTCCTACACACTGCACTTAATTATAAACAATAATGTAGCAAATTAATTTTCTAAACATTAACTTAAATTTTAACTTCCAACAAAGCACAGTATATATTGTAAATACAATGTATTTGATGCAAAATAGTAAAAATATTGAGTAATGCCATCATTTGCACACTTTTAATGTGAATACTAGTATTTGTGCCAAGTAATGCATTGTATTTCATATTGAATATGCTAGAATACTTCCTGTATGACTCTGTGTTGTACAGATAATGTATGATCAATTTCAGATCATGAAGGTTCAAGGTTTGCACAATTGAACATGGTGCCATGTTCTACATCTGTCTGTCTATAGTTAGTAATATGTATGTTTGTACAGGTTGTTGTGTGCTTTTTTGTTTCTTGCAATAAAAATGTTTGGAGTGTATTTTTTGCCATTTTCACATTGTATCACTTAGCTTTTGTTTTCAATACTTTTTTTGCCTAATGGTTTTTGAAAATGTTATCAAAAACCACTGAGAAACCATTATTGTTAAACTTGGTATTGTTTCTTACTTTTTGACTTGGGGTTCAAACAAATGCTGAACCAAATATATCCCAGCATTTCGGGAGGGGGCGCATTTCTGTGCAGCTAAATGGCTCATTTTGCTGTCCTTAAATACTTGAATATTTACATTCCATAAAACTGTGAGATTAAAAAGGAGTGTTTGGGCGCCTCTAAATACATAAATGTCTTGAAACAGTTGCCATGAATTTGACTAACTTTTGGTACACAAAGTGGTATTCTAAAGTTCTGCATTTGATTCTTCCACTTTCTGTGATATACAGTTTAGTATGTCTGCAGACTAAAGTATCTAAAACTTGGTGTAGGAATTTCAGCTAATTAGTCATCTTGTCTGCTAGACCCTTGTGCAATCCAGGTGAAGCCCCCTACCAACCTCCTTAACTCTGACCTGCAGGACATTTTCTGATCTGGGTCAATTCTGAGTTGGATGCTTCTTAAGCTGTTAGTGACCAAGCCTTTCTTTAGTATACCACCACTTCTGCTTTTACAGTTGAAAAAGGGGCTGCATTTTTCTTTAGGTTTGACACACTGATTGTTAGTCTGTTGCAAAATACAGAATTATAGTTACACAAACAAATATTTAACTGGTTATGGTGTAGACTTTGACTTGCTGATTGGGTTGAATATTGTGCATAATTCAAACATTTCAAAATAGTCCTAATTAGTATTCAGAATTATTACTTGGTGTTTATTTTTCATTTTTCTTTAAGTACAACTGATTTTTATCTAGAATGGTATGAGGCATTACACTAACCCTGGATCATTGGATCTGATTGCTTGATAAGCTTTTAAAAAAACAGAATCTAGAAATTCCTACCTTTAGGTCGGTGGTCTGTGAAGAATATAGCCTCTAGTTCTCAAGAAATGTAACAATAAATCTAAAATCCTAGTCTTTTGTACTTGTGGTATTAACATCTTTAAAAACCTAATCTGCAATCCAAAATTCTGTTAGCAGTTGGTTCAAATTGGTTTTTAGACATACTTACGTCTCAGCGCTCGCTCAAATTAGCTTGACTGGCCCAGTGACCCTAGAAGTTAATGTAATGCATTTATGTGAACCACATTTACAGTATTTGGTCTAATTCAGATGAGTTTTTATTTCTTGAAAACAGTTCTTTTCCTTTTTGTTTACTAGCATGTGTATGAACACAGATCACATGTTCATAAATAAAGTTAACATTCTTTTAGCCTTGTGTGTTCCCTGGCATCTCTGTATTACATTTCTAAGTAGCATCTTATTATGAGCTGATATAGATTTCTCATCAGTTTTAAAAAATATACTTTAAAGAATGGCTGTATTAATTCTAATTAGAACTATTTAAATTAAAATGGAAGCAAAGGAAAAATATTCCCTCTTGTCTTGTTGGCATGATTGGACGCTATTTAGGTTGTGGGCAGAAAAAAATCAATTGGGGCCTGATCTTGCCAGTCCTCTACATATGCAGTTTCTGTTAATGATAACTCTTAGTGCTTTTCATCTTTAAATCTCAAAGACAGGAGGGGTTCAATCCTTGCAGTATCCAGGATAAGTCACTTCCAGTGATGTGGGCACACTTATTACCTGTAATTGCCCAGCACAACCTAAAATCAGGGACAAATTCTGTCCTTAGTTATATGTGCACAACTCCCATTGCATGTATCTAAAAGCAGAACTTGGCTCCAGTGTACTAGGATTAAGTTAATTGAAAGCTGACACACTAAAAACAAAACATAGGGCAGCAAGTTTAAAATGGGTTAGTATACCTGATATAAATTCAAGTAATTTGATAATTATCTTGACTGATTATTTCTGCATTTCTTGCTCTTTATGTGTTAATATCCTCCTACACTGTGCCCATTCTGACATTGTCACAATATGATTTAGGGTTTTGAACCTTTGTTTTAAAACTTGTGACTACCTTATTAGTATCAGAGTGTCAGTAGCAAAAAGAAGCCTTAATCAGAATCAGTACCCCCATTGTCTTAGGTGCTGTAGAAATACAGAAAACAGTCCTTTGCTCAGAGCACAAGTCACTAAAAGGCAGCTGAAATCCTGGTTGGCCAATTCTTCAGTTAACTTGAATCCTGAGTATTGTAGGCCTTATAATTGAAACGGAAATCCCTATAGTTCTCCAACAGTGGTCTATGTGTAAAGTTTGGGATTGAATGGTTTGTTGTCCTTCTCACCTCTTTCCTTCCCCCCCCCCCCCCCCCCCCCCAACTCTACTCCAGTTCCTCTGAGCAGTTTTCTGGTGACATGGGATCCAATCCAATCATTCACCTTTTTTATTATTCGAGTTCTACTACAGTATCAGGTCTGTTCTGTTGTACTCTCACCTGGAGTCACAAGAACCTTGGACATGTAGGTTCCATGTGTCTGAATCCAGTGGCTGGCAGGAAGCTTGACCACATACTATAGTAGAAATTTTGAAAAAGTTGACAGCAAAAAGGAGAAGAATACAAAACAGGCCGGGAGGCCACCAGGAGATACTCGGACATTAAATCAACTATTCACTCCCTCTGGTGGTAATTTAATGTTCAGGAATAACACCATTACCCCCTTCCTTAAGAGATCAGGTCAGACTTGTGTCTAAAACCATTAATGCTTTTGCATGAGAAAATTTTATCTGTTATGTTGTCTTGCTGTGCTCAAGGTAGAAAATATAACCGATTTAGAAAAGCTATCCATTGGACTCTTGCAGTTGTACTATTAAACACTGAGAAGTCTAGCATTGGCAAAAAATTGATAAAACATTCATAACACTTCATAAATTGTTAAACACAGAAGCTCAGAAACTAGTTTTATCAGCTGTAATTGTAAACCAGAGCCCTCTTTATTTCCACATGTAAAAAGGAGGGACTTCTGAAACCTCCGCTTTCTGGTTATTTAACTACATTTCCTTTTTTAACCTAATTGAATGTAGAGCATCACAACATAGCATATCGAGATTTTATAACAGACTGAAATTTTCTTAAACTGAAATTTATAATAAAAAAAAATTCGCAAAGCATTACCATTGAAAAGGGGCTTCATATTCTGAGTCTTCTAATTCTTCCCCTCCATGGAATATTTTCAGGAGTATCATTTCTTGAAGTCTTTGTGACAATTCTGTAAAAATCCGTGTATAAGTTGTGTTGCAAGTACTGCTCATGTGCAGAAGAGTCCCATGTGGTGGAGGAATCATGAACTCTGGGACCTTTTTGATTGAATGAAGAATAGGTTCATTACAGAAACATTTCCCCAAAGTTGGAATAATACAATTATTCTGTGGCATATTTCTACTACATTAAGTAATGTAGAATTTCTATAGGATTCTTTAAAAACCTGTTCCATTACTTTTTTTTTCTTTTTAATCTTTCTCCAGCTTATGCTAGTGATAGTATTGGCTTCACTTGAGAGGTCTCTAACTTGTGAAATTTTATTCCATTTCTCCAGTCAGCTTTATTTAAGACAAAATAACCACTGAGCCCAAAATTTCTAAATATTTTCTCTCTACAAATTTTATTTTGATAATTAAGTATTATTTTGATTATTTAATCATTTCATCCTTGGTGGTGGTGGCATGTTACAATTTGATACCTCTATAAAGAGCACAGGAATTTTCCTTTTCATGTGTGGAAAAATTACATATTACCAATCGTTTTGAATAGGTAATCTAATTTATGCTGCAGTCAATGATCCATTTGAAGCCTTTAAAATCAGCCACTTTCCTGCAAGGTACTTTGTCTGGGCAAGCATATGGGGGTCGCATGGATGAGCAGCTTGCAGGGTTGGGACCTGAGTCTACCTTCGTCTCTGAAAGTATGCTTTCTTGCTTTTGTCCATAATGGAGTCCATAACCGCTCCTCATGACTGCTATTAAAAACTGTCCTTTTTGGGGGCGTGGGGCGTGGAGGATGTTAAATATTGAAATCTCTATAAAGTCAATTGCATGTTTTCAGTTCAGTTTTATAATATGCCCTTCTGTTTTAATAAAATGGACTTGTGTAATTTCTTCCCTGTTCTAGTAAACTCTTATGACATATAGAATTATACAGCTTTTTACTTGTCCTCATTTGATCCAGACAGTTTATTTTGCGACTCATAGATAAGTGGAAGGATTGCTTTTATGAAATGGATTTTTTTTGACAAGATTTTATCTCTGGGCTGATATGCCTGTTCTTTCTTTTGGCAACAGGCGACTGTGTACTTCACAAAAGCATAACCACACTCATTCATGATTAAGTGTTAAATTACAAAATATAGTAAACATATATTTATATGTTAACACAATTCTTTCTCAAACTAACTTTAAAAAATTATTTTAAAAAATTTAATCCAGTTAGCTACAAAGTGAGAAGTATTTGTTCTGTCCGTAATATATTGAGTCCTATTGATTTAGGGCGCTATGGGGTCTCATCAAGGGGAGAAGAGGCTCTGAGTCAATACATTGATTTAAGCAAGTTGCTTCACTATTTTAGTGTCTTCCCCTTAGAAGCTGACCCCTCCTGATCTATCACACATTTTTAAAGCTGCCATGGTTTTGGGCCCCATTTGTTTTGTGCAAATAAAAATTGCACTACTTTGGAAAATGCCTCTGTCAATGACACACACAAAAAATACCCAGAGTAGACGTTCAAACTACAATAGAGGCTAAATATCACTATGTTTTGACTGTGGAACTTGAATGTGTGTTTAATTTTTTGTGAACAGATTGATGACTCTTCTGCATCTATTTCTCTGGCCCAGCTTACAAAGGTATATATACATATATATTCTTGTCAAATAAAACTGAATGAATTGTTTGCTTGATATTTAAATGTCTTATATTGTGATCTATATCTGGCTAATTTTGTAATATGAGCAAAATTTTATTTTAGTAAAAAGTGCTGACTTTAACTTGAAAATTTGTGTATATATTGATTGATACTATCCTGTAAAGAGTAGTTCCCAGTTTGGGAAGATAGAAGGGGAGTACCTTATCAGCCTCAGCATAATGTTGCAGTATTACTCATCTTCAAGACACAAGGAAGAAGCACTTCAGAAGCTGTTTACCGTTTCTTTCATACGTTCCGTTAATTTTCCATTGGAAACTAGCACAATTTTTAAAGAAGAATTTAATAATATTTTGGCTGTAAGTTATGGACTTGCCAGAGTTTTTTGCAACAGCCAAAATAGAAGCTTTTCGTTAACATGGACAATTGCACGGTTATTTTTTGGATTTCTAGACTTTCCAGTGCTAGACCAATTCTTTGAGTGTTGCACATAATTTCATAAGTTATAGACTTGTAGTATATTTACAGTGGACAACATTTATACAATCTAATTTGTTTGAACACAGACTTGTAAATTGTGTAAATGTATCAATTGTTTATAGGAATATACCAATGTGTATTTGTGGCATATTGGCAAATGTGACCTTTTGAAACTGTTGTATATGCCATGTTTTGCTATGAAACTGCTTGCATTTTCTGCTCAATGATGTGTGACTTTGTTTGGGAAAGCACTAGTGACTACACTTTCTGAAAAGATACTATAGTATCAGCCAAGTAAATTATTGCTCTTTTAAAATTTAAAAGATTAGAAAGGTTAGGACATTATACAGAGTAGTTAGACTTCCTTTCTTTTGAGGGTAAAGACTGGCGTTTGTTTTCCAGAGAAAAATATAATTCTTTCCATCTACAGCTTCCCCTCCACTATAAACATGAAAATCTTACATTCATTTGGCAACAAAGAAATTTAACTTGAAAAATAGCCATCTAAAGAGATTGGCTTCCATTAGTGCTGTCCCTAAATCTGTCCTCGGTTTTGTAAGCTCGTGTCAACTTTCTTATTCTAAGATGTGAAAAGCTGTCCACGTGGTGTATTCCTTTTTAAGTTTTTTGATAGAACATAAGTATTTCAGAAAAATGCAGAAACATAACATAAAGCAGCTCAAAACTGTTACTTACTTTAACCTCTTCAGCACAGATTGGCTTAGCATGGAGGCAATGTGTTTAACAGTTTTCTGTTTTATTCCTATTATGTATTAAATGCCATATTGGAATTTTGGTCTATTCCTACTAATGTTTTGTGCTTTTGGATGTGTTTGTAAACTGTTTGGGTTCAAACAAATTAGTTAAGTATCTGTAAATCACATTTTCTGTAAATGTTAATGGAAATGGTTTCATAGATGTCAATCTGGTTGATGTTACTGTTAAGAAAAGCTATGTATATGAAACAACCATTTAATAAAATGTTGAAACTAGTTGGTTGCTTTTGTGAATGAATGTATAAAAAGATAAAATACTTTGAGTGGTTGATCTGAATGCTAGGTGCTTGAAGATCCAAGTAATTAGCAGTCACTCCCTTAGACCCTGCTTGTATCTGGACTAGTGTGTAATGAAATATTTTAACGAGTACTAGTAAATTTTAATTTTTTTCCTCAGTTGGCTTCAGTATTTTGAAAGGTTAGCTCCACATATGAGGATTACATTTACAGTTTTCATATTAAAGAGAGACAGTCAACTTGAAAGCTATTTATCTGCAAATTTTGTACCCGCTGTAGTTACAACACTTCATAGTGTAAAGTTAACAAAAATACATTTTTAGTCTATTTACACGTGACAGAACTCTGTGTATAGTCAGTTTCTGCTTTACTGAAAAGACCCTTCTAAAAATCTCAGGAGGGGAATACACATACCCTTATTTAAAAAACTAAAGGAATTTTAAAAGCACATTCTCTTCAAGGGTGCTATATCAGAGACCCAGACTTTATTTCAAACAAAACAAACAAAAGAGTAAGTTTCAAATAATTCAAGTTGAGTGTCCTTTTAACACTGAAATGTAAATACTGCTACTTGTATCCATATTTCTGAATAAATACAAATACACTGAGCGTACTTTTTCATGTAGTCTGGAGCTTAATATTCAGTTTCTTTAACTTAAAAGTACTGAATAAGATTTTTGTACACTTAGCTTAAGTCCAAGTCCACTTTTGTTTTAAAGAAAATTGGAGCAGTTACACAAGTCTTTATGTAAGGTACAAACAGAGCCTAAGGTTTTGAGTGTCCAAGAAAGCTTTTCTCAAGTAGACTAACAGGCACACAAACATCATGTAATGGCTTAAGGACTCCCCAGAACATCTTCATGACAATATAAAATATAAGCAGCAATTTTGATGCAACTTCAGTTAGATTTGTGCTGCTCTTTACAGGATTGGATGAGTGGTGTTGTCTTTGGCTGTGTGGACTTAATTGTGTTTCTAATGTGTGTGTCAAATAATTACCTATTAAACAGACTGCCAATCTGGCTGAAGCCAATGCTTCCGAAGAAGATAAAATAAAAGCTATGATGTCACAGTCTGGCCATGAATATGATCCAATCAAGTAAGTGTTTATAATGTCAAATCTGTTCCTTGAAGATTATGGACAAATTGTACAGATATGCTTATGTTCTGTTTAAAAACTGTAGACACACCTTTTTTAAACCTTTTTAGTTACATGAAGAAACCTTTGGGTCCACCTCCACCATCCTATACGTGCTTTCGTTGTGGAAAACCTGGTCATTACATAAAGAATTGCCCAACAAATGGGGTAAGAGTCTATGGAGGGATTTGCACTGTTATGTTTTTAGTAGTATGAGTTTATTGCATTTTATGATTTAACTTAAACACATAGGCAAGATAATTCATAGCAAACGCTGAAACTCTGCTCTGAATTTCTCCTTTTGTGCCTGTGCATAGTAGCTGATAGTGTTTAACTGTATACTATTTGTTGACAAGACATCCACTCTGATAGTGGAGAGCTTTGTTTAGTAATTCAGATTTCTGGCTGGATTTAGTTTACGTATTTAAAAAAATTCATTTTCAGAGTTAGTATCTTTTTCCAGAATAGGAATGCACTGTAGAGATAAACATTCCATTCTGAGAGGTTTTTCTGCCTTGTGTTCCTCTGAATTGCAAGACATTAAGGGGGGAGGGAGGGACCTTTACAATATGTTTATCTATCTGATCTATTTTTAAAAGTAGTAATTGCACATTTGAAGTAAGGAGTAAAGGTTTAGTTATTTATATTCATGATAGTTAGCCTCATTTCAGTGTGTGGAGTAATGTGAGTTTATAGAATGGATTCTAAAAACTGTGTGCGGAGGTGTCAAAAATCAATGAAAATTTAGAAGAATTTTCTTCTAAAATATTTTAAGTTTATCAGTAAAGAAAAGGAGAGAAATTGTGGTGAAGGGGATATGTCCTGTACTTTCCAGTGTGTTGGTATTGCAAGCCCTCTCTTTACCTTATCCCAGTGCGTCTTGCACTTTCATATTACAAGCTGTGGAATGCTTCATGCTTACCTGAGACTTGTCACATCCTCCATAGTTTCAATATCAATTTTGTATGAATAAACCAATTCACATTTGAATGCTTCATCATTTTAATTGTACACATGAGTGTAAAGAGGATGCCTCTTCCAACCATTCTCCTCCCGTAGATTCAAATGTATGTGACATCTACTCTGTAGCATAAATGTTTTACAGCCATTATTACATGAATGGAGAGATTATCACTTTAGGGCCTAGTACTGCAAAGACCTGTGCTTGTGTTTGACTTCAAGCACAGGAGTTGTCCCATTTTGTTCAAAACACCTGCCTGATTCTTTGCAGTGTCTTAGTCAGTTAAGGAATTATATGTATTTATCATGCAGTCCTCATATTTGCAAAGGAAAAAAAATTAAATACAATTTTTTTTATCACTCTCACACACTTAAGCATTCAGATGCCCTTTTAAATGGGTTCCCTTTAAAGCTGAAATATATCTGGATTCTTTTTCTTAACAGGACAAAAATTTTGAGTCTGTTCCCAGGATTAAAAAGAGCACAGGAATTCCCAGGAGTTTCATGATGGAAGTGAAAGATCCCAATACAAAGGGTGCTATGCTTACAAACACAGGAAAATATGCAATACCAACTATTGATGCGTAAGTATTTAGTACTTCAGAGGTGGCCAAAGCATAACCAACAGAGACTACATCAAAGTGGAGCAATGTAGGTTGGCATCTGTGGTCTCCAGGGGTTCTGGCACAGTATCTGAGTGGCTGCGGTCTGCTCTGTATAATGCTAATGGGGTGCAACCGTGGCAAACTTGTCATTGTGGCTCTAACTGGGAAAATATTGGTACCCCCTGAAGCTGATATAAATGTATTTTTAACCTTTTTCTTGTTCCATTCGTACATATGCTCATAACTTGCTATGCAGATATATGCACACAATACACAGGTGTTTGTGTCACCATGTCTAGGCACCCTCTCTGCCCCTCCGACTGTGTTCAGTTTGCTGTTGCAAATAATTCACTTTGGCAGTAAAGTGATTTGAAAACCTTGACTGAAATATGCTGGGCTAATATTTTAATGTGTCATAAAGCATGCATATTATTTCATAGAAATTAACACTGAGACAGTGAATATTGGGCTATGTAAACATAGCAAAAGCCTGAAACATTTTGGGGTATGCACAGCAACAGCATCTGATCTTGTCCATTTCCATTGCTGGCTAGAAAGCTTTGGCTTACAAATAAATCCTTCATTTAAGTGTAATAGCAAGGTATTGAAAATGAATAGTTGGTCTTTGAATGAAAAGCTTCTTAAAAGTGAACACTTTATAAAAATGGCCAACACTGAGATGGCAGCGTTCTTTACTGGCGAGCTCAGGGAGTTGAGATTCTGTGCCCTTGACTTGGTGTGAATTGCACTAGTCACCTAAACTTTCTACCTCAGTTTCACTGCTATAGGAGTGCTGATGATGTTGTTTTAAATAATATTTGCAGCTGTAGTTAAGCACTTTTTAAAAAAAGCTGATTTTCAGCTTATGCTGCATCTGCTTCATAGGTTTCTTGCAAAACACTGAGCAGCTCTAGATGAAACTGCCAGTTTCAGCCAAGACACCAAAGGTCTTAAGATCAGATGGTCTTTAGTGTTTTTATGTAAACTGATTAAGATGTACCAAAAAAATAGTAATAGCAAGAATTAATAAATACCTATGTGCCTGTGGAAAACCTTGCTGATGCTGTTCATATGTTGAAATCCAAAACTCCTTCATGCAAAACACACTGCAAACTCGGGTCTAGTGGAAATGCTGCTCTCACTTAGTAAAGGCACTGGAAATCTGAGTTCACCCTGTTTGTTTTAACTCAGTAGAAAATAGTTATCCTCTGTAAGGTCCTACCTAATCCAACAAACACGCTTTTTTAAATAGTGCAGAATCCTCAGTAAGAAGGAGGGAAGGATAAGGATTACAAAAGTACATCAATGCAAATACTTGGGCTTATATGGACGTTTTGGTGGTGATGGCAGATGGTAGGAATGTGGTTGCATTGTATGTAGTGTACATCAAAATTTGTCCAAAAATAGAAATAACTACTTGACCTGATAAAATCCCATTAAATACCAATATATATCAAATGTTTTTGTGGAATATTTTATGGTTGTTAGAAACCAAGAAAATATTGGTGTGGTGGGTTGAGGGAGAGGGATCTACATAACCTTTATATCTAGTTCATACGGTAATTTTAAAAAGGTACCTGTTATACAGCTAAAACTCAACCTTTTCTAAATCTCAATTCATTTTTCCATTGTGTACCTCCTTATGTAGAAACAGTATCATGTTTGATCTGTGCTAATTATGCAATAAATAATCACTTACCTGTTTAGAGATTAAATCTCTCTTGCGTAATATATAATACTAAGTATATGGTTGAATTCTGTTTAGGAAGTGTTTTCTTGATTTATTTATTCTGTTATAAAATCTGAAATTTTTATGCCCTTTCTTTAAACAGATAGTCTTAAATTAAATTATTTCTTTCAGGGAGGCTTATGCTATAGGGAAGAAGGAAAAGCCCCCTTTCCTCCCAGGAGGAACCATCCTCCTCCTCAGAAGAGGACGATCCTATTCCGGATGAATTGTTATGTCTAATCTGCAAAGATATAATGAATGATGCAGTTGTCATTCCCTGCTGTGGAAACAGTTATTGTGATGAATGTAAGTGCCATAGTCTGACATTATAGTTAACTCAGATGCCAAATGATCGTCTAAAATGAACAGGAATCTGAATTAACAAAAAATGCTATGCTACTCTTTATTCTGAAATGGGGGTATCTATTCACCAGAACATTCTTGCATTTAATCTTTGGGTAAAGGAAGAATGCTAGAGATGATTTTAGCTGGAACTCAGATTAGAGGAATTTTTTACATAGGGATGGAAAAACATAAGAAGTGAATGCTTGTATTATTATTTTTTATAGTCCCTGATGTTGAAGACATCTAGTTTGAATAAATGCTTTCTCAAGCTCTTCTTCTCCTTTGTTTCTGTTGTTTGATTTGGTAATAGTTGTCATCAATTTGCCATATAAATTGTTAGTATCCCAAATACAACACCGGCAATTAACTGGAGGCTCAAACAAGAGGAAAGATAGACTGTTGTTCAAACTCCTCTTTTAAAAGGACAGTTAGTTAAAAATATAATCTTAACCTAATTTACTAATGCTTTCTTAGAAATAAAATTTACCCGTTAATCTAGAGATTGATTACTTATTGTATCCCACTCCACTAGACAATGAAAATAAACTAGTTAAATCAGTTTCACTGACTGATTGTCATGCACTAACTTTATCTTGTACTTTGTGATTTGCAAACACTAAACAATGTTTAAGTACAAACAAGGTGGTGCTTTTTTATTTAAGGTGGAGTTTTCAAAAAGCCATGGAAATGGTTTTTTTTATACTCTGTAAATCCTTACTTTTACTAACAGATAAAGAAATGACAGGTTGATTACAAAAAATATTTTTTGTAAAAATAACTGTTAATTATGAAAAAAGAAAAGGAGTACTAGTGGCACCTTAGAGACTAACCAATTTATTTGAGCATAAGCTTTCGTGAGCTACAGCTCTCCATCGGATGCAAGTGAAAGCTTATGCTCAAATAAATTGGTTAGTCTCTAAGGTGCCACAAGTACTCCTTTTCTTTTTGTGAATACAGACTAACACAGCTGCTACTCTGAAACCTGTTAATTATGAGTGTGTGGTCACAGAATTTGTTTTAAAGTATAATACTACATACTAGAACTTCTCAATAAGTCCCTGTTTAAATGTTTTCCGCCCCGTCCATGTTTCCCCTAGACCCCATTGTTCGTTGTGTACAGGGATATGAGAGGTTTCAGAGTAGCAGCCGTGTTAGTCTGTATTCGCAAAAAGAAAAGGAGTACTTGTGGCACCTTAGAGTCTAACAGATTTATTTGAGCATAAGCTGTGAGCTACAGCTCACTGCATCCAATGAAGTGAGCTGTAGCTCATGAAAGCTTATGCTCAGATAAACTCGTTAGTCTCTAAGGTGCCACAAGTACTCCTTTTCTTTTAGGGATATAAGAGTAAAGTATGACCCAAATATTTGTTAGCTCAGGTGCTTCTGTTTGTTCACAGGTATCAGAACATCACTACTGGAATCAGAGGAACATACCTGCCCAACTTGTCATCAAACAGATGTTTCCCCTGATGCTTTAATTGCCAACAAATTCTTACGCCAGGTAACTTCACTTTACATATAATGTATGTACGAAAAGCTCATCTTATTTGTAAGTAGCTAAGAGGCAGGAAAATTCTACTTCATGGAGCCATCACTATAATTAAGACAGGTTGAGAAATCTGTTAATGGCGTATTTTGAAATGATCACTTTAAAAATACAGAGCAATTTCCTGATTTATGATATTAGAAAATTGGCTCACTTCTAGATTTCAGCAAAAAACATTTGACATGTTTTCATTGTTGAATATATATGTTGTCAAAAGGATGCTCTGATGTTGGTTTACACAAAAAGAAATCATGCTTCCAGTTTTCTCTGTTGCAAAGAGAAGCTTGAAAATATGAAGAAAGTGCAAACGGATGCAGTGCTATTCCCATCTGAGGACAGCCTCGTACAATAGCTCTGCAGAGAGTGAACTTCCTTTTTTACCTCCGTGCAGTTGTTAGCTCTGAAAACTAGAGAGAATAGTTCAACCGTAACACTTAGTGAAGGAAGTCTTTTATAGGGATCATAATATACATACTAGTAACTTTTATGTAACAGTGATTTTTCTACCTCTAGGCTGTAAACAACTTCAAAAATGAAACTGGCTACACAAAAAGGCTCCGAAAGCAGATACAACCACCAAGACAGACAGTTCAGCGGAACCTGCAACCTGCAGTAAGGCCTCCAGTTTCCAGACAACAGGATCCTCTAATGATTCCAGTCACTTCTGCACCTTCTCTAACATCGTCACTGACTCCTAGTCAATCATCTGTGACAACTACTTTGCCAGTAAATCAGTCTTCTGCCACTGCACCTGCGGCTGATATCTCTGCAACAATGTCCATATCTCTTCACTCTGAAAAACCAGAAGGACCTTTTCAGTAAGTAAACTTGTAGTTTAACGCAACTGAAAAAGAAATAAAAATGTTAATGCTGGTTTTCCACTTTCATTGACTTCTAATGCTTTATCTTGTCTGGTAGCTGTTTATATGTGCTTTAGTGATGGTTGACAGACAAACCTCTCCTTTCCAGCTCCAAGTACAGCCTTGGAGGATTTCATTTATCATATTGTCTTTCACTTTCCCTGCTGTAATTTAACAGGTCTTGAGAGTAATCCAGATGCCAAGTTTCATTCACCTTGTATTCTGATAGGGTGGAATTCACAAACTTAGTTTTCCTCTGCCACTCCTCCTTGAAATCAATGATGTGTTCTTTGACACATTATATATATCCAACATATGAACACTTCATGACCTTGTGAGACCTTATGCTTTTAGTAGGGACTCCATGAGGTACTGGGAGAATGGTACTCAAGCATTTGTTTCCGTAGACTTTTCTTATCTATTTGAGGTACGGCACACCAAGTCTTATTTAATTCATGTGTATCTGTTTCTTTGTAGAAGAATTAGTTACGTTAGTCTGCTCCTATGGAGATGCTCACCATTCTTTTAAATAAAGATGCAGTTTTGTGATACGTTGGTGACATGCATCACTCAAGAGCAGCCAATTCCCCAGAAGCACTTGTCTTGGTGACTGTTTGGTCACTACTAAATCTCTCCCAGTGTAGGATTACTTTCTTATAGGAATTCTTCTCCCAGTGTCTTTTCTGGGGGAAGACTCTTTAAATTTAGCAGAGAACAGCAGCAGCTAAAGTTACCATTTTGTTACTTGATACATCAGTCTCTTCCAATTGGAAAGCATTCTTGATTCCTGTTAGAGAATGTCTACACTGACATTTTATAGCACTCTAACTTGTTGGTGTAAAAAATCACCCCCCTGAGCGCAGCAAGTCTGAGCGCTTTAAAGCACTGGTGTAGACAAGCTCCGAGCGCTGGGAGCTAATCCCCTCATGGAGGTGGATTACCAGGAGTGCTGGGAGAGCTCTCTCCCAGCGCTTGTGTGCAACCACACTCGCACTTCAAAGCACCGCCGCGGGAGCGCTTCTAGTTTCCAGTGTAGACATACCCTTAGGTTTGCTTTTCTTACTATTGAGGAGACATGGTGCATTTTCTTAAACTACAAAAATGCATCTACAGGTAAAACTTATCATTTACATTCATATCGCTCCTTCTGTTCAAGTTCTGTCATCTACATCATACAGGGTCTGACCTAGCTGCAATGAAATACATAAATCAAAGCAACAGTAACATATGTAGGTTTGCAAAAAGAAAAGGAGTACTTGTGGCACCTTAGAGACTAACCAATTTATTTGAGCATGAGCTTTCGTGAGCTACAGCTCACTTCATCAGATGTATACCGTGGAAACTGCAGCAGACTTTATATACACACAGAGAATATGAAACAATACCTCCTCCCACCCCACTGTCCTGCTGGTAATAGCTTATCTAAAGTGATCAACAGGTGAGCCATTTCCAGCACAAATCCAGGTTTTCTCACCCTCCACCCCTCCACACAAATTCACTCTCCTGCTGGTGCTAGCCCATCCAAAGTGACAACTCTTTACATAATCAAGTCGGGCTATTTCCTGCATAGATCCAGGTTTTCTCACATCCCCCCCACCCCCATACACACACAAACTCACTCTCCTGCTGGTAATAGCTCATCTAAACTGACCACTCTCCAAGTTTAAATCCAAGTTAAACCAGAATATCTGGGGGGGGGGTAGGAAAAAACAAGAGGAAACAGGCTACCTTGCATAATGACTTAGCCACTCCCAGTCTCTATTTAAGCCTAAATTAATAGTATCCAATTTGCAAATGAATTCCAATTCAGCAGTTTCTCGCTGGAGTCTGGATTTGAAGTTTTTTTGTTTTAAGATAGCGACCTTCATGTCTGTGATTGCGTGACCAGAGAGATTGAAGTGTTCTCCGACTGGTTTATGAATGTTATAATTCTTGACATCTGATTTGTGTCCATTTATTCTTTAAGTACTCCTTTTCTTTTTGCGAATACAGACTAACACGGCTGTTCCTCTGAAACCTGTCAATATGTAGGTTTGAGGCATAGTGAATCAGAGAGCATTACTTAGCAGCTATGTAAATGTAACTCTTCACTATGTAAATTTAAGGTCCAGAACAACTTCCTATTAAATTATTTTAAAGTCTGCTTTAAAAAAAATAAACTGTAGTTGAAGGCTCACATCTCCAGCTCTGTGGTTTGAACCTACAAGACAGTACCTCTGTCAAACAAAGTGTCAGCCTACCTATTAGAGAAGGTGGGTGAGGTAATAACTTTTACTTGGCCATCTTCTATTGGTGAGAGAGACGAGCTTTTGAGCTTACACACAGCTGCTTTTCATAGCAAAATACAAGAATACAATACAATACAAATACAGTATAGCATACCTATATCATTAAACACCTGAGGGCCATATTTCAAAATTATCTCATCCCAGCCACTAAATTTCTATTTGAAAGTATGTATGTACTAAATTTTACATACCCTGGAACCGAGATCTGTATGTAAAAGTTTAAATGTACACATTCTAAAACTTGCATGTGAAAATATAGAGGCTACTCTGGAAACCTGTGTTCCCTTCTGACCCTCTCATTCAGTAAAGTTGTACTTTACCTTTTTTACAGTCCTAAATCTGTTTTTATGCAACATTTTCTTATTTGCAATAATTAAAAATTGTGCAGCTTTTTCTTATATACCTCAGTCCTTTTTCTTTTAATAACTTAAAACTCCATATTTGAATATGTCACAAATCTTATGTCCTTTGGTTTTTTTTCCAGCGATGCTGATAGTGTTATACCTCCTGCTGCTATTGTGCCGGCCTCCGAACATTCTAAAACTTCTTCCTCTCTATCGATTAGCACTGTGATGGAAGAGAAGGTAAATTTTACTTGAGCATATGTAATGAGTTTTATGTTTTGAGAAAGCTGCTCTTCTGATTTTTCCCTCTTGATCCCTAAGGGCTATCAGGTTCCTGTACTAAGACAGCCAGCATTACAAGGCCAGCTGACTTCACAAGGACAGTCAATACCCACTACTGGTGAGTAACCACAACTTTAGCCCTGTTCTTATAGAAATATTTCTTCAGATAAACTGAATAGAATTTTTTCCCCCCCCCAATAGGTCAGCCAATAAGAACCAATACGGTTCGCTCTGCAGGCAATAGGCCAGGCTGGGAACCGTAAGTATATTTGCAAAAAATATTTCACTTTCTAGTGCTTTTAATCAGTTTGCTAATTTGTTAAATTTAACTGTGACTTGGTTATTGAACGTATTTCATTGTAAACCACCTGTTATCTAAGTATATGTAGACAGGTGTGGTGAATCTAAGCCAAATGGTAATCACCATTTCTATATGCTTTAGTCTGAACTTGTTTTAACAAATTGGAACACTAGATTCCCTTAGGATTACCTAAAGAAAAATGTCAGTGTAATCTGCAAAATATTGGAAAAAATAAACCCACTTTCAAAGAATAAACTATTAAAAAGATTTTAAAATCTCAAATATAATTTTAAACAATCAGGTAGAAAAGTTCCCTTGTGACAGTTTGCAGAATAGGGCTGAAGGACTTGGCTTCGCCACTGGGAGCTGCTGGAAATCACTTTCACAGCTATAAGTTCTGTTCATTAAAGAATTTGGTTAATATTGTTTAAGATGATTAAATTTATGCAAATAAAAAAAACCCCATAACATTTACCTGACAGCAATTTTGGGTTCTCTGACTTAGTGCTTTCAAATGGTGAAGCTGATTCCTTTCAATCCTATATATCATCATCCAGCTGATCCTTCTTTCTGGGATGTATAATCATTTATTTGATTACTGTTGTGCTGTAAGCATACATAGCACTTTACAAAACACTTCAAAAAAAAAAAAAAGGAAAGGAAAAAGGTCCATACCACAAATATATTAAACTCTCAAAATCAGTAGACAGGACAGCAGTTCAGGCACAAGAAAGTGCAGATGCATCATCGTGAGATCAACAACATAGGAAGATGCTAAGAAAGAAGTTTAAAGAAGTTCAAGAGAAGATTAGTTAACATTTGTGCAGTGCGTTGAAGATGAGAAGTGCTCAAAGTGCAAAGTATTAAATGTGTCAAAGATTGGCAGAGGAGCGGTGGGCATTTGGTACACGCAAAATGGGAGACTGTTGTAAGCATAGGGAGCATCTTTCCAAAATTGCAAAACAAAGAGTGAGGAAAGAAGATTGAGGGAGCAGTTGGGAGTGAGGATATGGAGGGGGAGAGTCAGGAGCAAGAGGAGTATAGGATGAAATGAGCAGACATATAAGCAGGGTGGAGTTTGAGACTTAAATTGAGGACAAGGACAGGAAATGCCCTCAGATGGACACCAGCTTCCTTCACTTTCCTCTTTTAAAATAAGGGCAGAGTGTAACAAACAGTGACACGTGTTTTTGGGTTTCTTTAGAAGTTCAAATCGAGGACGCCCGCATAGTGAACGTACACAAAGGACTCAGGCCCCAACATTACCAGCATCAACACCTGTCTTTGTGACTGTGCCTCCTCCTCCCCTGTTTCCTCCACCTCCCCATGCACTTCCTCTTCCACCGGGGGTACCTCCACCACAGTTTCCTCCTCAGTTTCCACCTGGTCAGCCTCCACCTGCTGGGTACAATGTCCCCCCACCGGGATACCCCCCAGCTCCTGCAAACATATCAACACCTTGGGTACCAACAGCAGTACCAACGGCTCATTCAAATACCATCCCAACGACACAAGCACCTCCTTTATCTAGGGAGGAATTTTACAGAGAGCAGCGGAGACTTAAAGAGGAGTAAGTATTTGGCTCTGAATGAAGTTGCATTATTTTTCATTATTCTATTTCAATAGCATATTGGACAGCAATTACACTAAAGTGCATCTGTCATAAGCAAAAGTGACATATAAAGCAAATTTTCCAATGTGCTTTGCATTACAAGGTGGTAAACCTACAAAACTAAAACAAGACAACTGTAATTCTAAAGTTTGCCATGAAATTCATATAGGAAATATTAGTGTTTTTTTCAAAAATATAGGATGTTCATTTTTTATTTGCGTGCAGTGTAAATATTTTAATATTAATGTTTGTTTCTTGATGTCTTTTATTGTGTGTTTATATGTTCAAACTATCATAATTTTATTTTAACAGAGAAAAGAAAAAGTCCAAACTTGATGAGTTTACAAATGATTTTGCTAAGGAATTGATGGAATACAAGAAGATTCAAAAGGAACGTAGACGCTCATTTTCCAGGTAATTGTTTTACATGTCTTGTGACAAAGTTCCTCCTCTACCTTGGTGGGTCTTGCGCTTATTGGCGGATTTGCTCGCCTTGGAGCTTCAAGGCAGCCCTCAGCTTGGCCGTTTTTTGAACCCACAGTCCAGGTCGACTCCTCCTGTGTCTGAACAGGAGTTGGGAGGATTTGGGGGGAACCCGGGCCCGCCCTCTACTCTGGGTTCCAGCCCAGGGCCCTGTGGAATGCAGCTGTCTAGAGTGCCTCCTGGAACAGCTGTGCGACAGCTACAACTCCCTGGGCTATTTCCCCATGGCCTCCTCCCAACACCTTCTTTATCCTCACCATAGGACCTTCCTCGTGGCGTCTGATAATGCTTGTACACCTCAGTCCTCTAACAGTCCGCATTCTCACTGTCAGCTCCTCGTGCCTCTTGCTCCCAGCTCCTCACACACACACCACAAACTGAAGTGAGCTCCTTTTTAAAACCCAGGTGCCCTGATTAGCCTGCCTTAATTGATTCTAGCAGCTTCTTGATTGGCTGCAGGTGTTCTAATCAGCCTGTTTGTCTTAATTGTCTCCAGAAGGTTCCTGATTGTTCTGGAACCTTCCCTGTTACCTTACCCAGGGAAAAGGGACCTACTTAGCCTGGGGCTAATATATCTGCCTTCTATTACTATCCTGTAGCCATCTTGCCCAACTCTGTCACAGTCTGTAATGCAGAGCCAACTAATCTAGCAGAATTAAAAAGAGTTCTACTCCGTCCCTCTTTCTTCAGAGGGATTAGCAATATGATACAAGTTCATTGGTTAGATCATTGGCAAAATTTGGTCCTGATTGTAATTGACTGGAAATTGTTATAATCTTGCAGCAGTTTGACCCATCTGGAATTATGACTTAGTCTGGTTTGCGTGAGGGAGATCCCTATGCCTACGGTGACACCCTTGTAGACCATCTCATCACAGGCCTAAAACTGAGTAGATGTGCTTACTGAATTCTCTACGTGACTCTGTAGGTGTTTCTATGCAATGTGTGAAAAGACTCCACTACTTCTGCCTGTGTGTCATCTAATCTATGGATATTTCGGAAGCGTTTAACTTCCAGGACTGCGTATCTGGTGCCTTTCACTAGCATTAAGTTCACTTTACTTCATTAAGCTTTTTTCAGAAATGAGAAAAAGTTAATTTGCTGTTGTATTTAATTTTTTGAAAACATTTTTGTTAAATTATGGTTGAAGGGCTACTTCACAGGGAACTGATAAAAGTGTAGTGGCATGTTAAATTAGGCATCTTTTTTAAAAGTTTCTACAAGGAAAATATCTTCAGGGTCCTGAAAGTCCTCAAAAGCTTCCCACCCTAACAGTACAGATCTGTTCGGCAACGTTGGTCTGAATAATTCTTCAGTAATACTATACAAATCACAGTATTGGTAGTAAGAAAAGGAGGACATGTGGCACCTTAGAGACTAACAAATTTATTTGAGCATAAGCTTTTGTGAGCTACAGCTCACTTCGTCGGAATAATTTGTTAGGCTCTAAGGTGCCACAAGTCCTCCTTTTCTTTTTGCGGATACAGACTAACATGGCTGCTACTCTGAAACCTGTCAGTATTGGTAGTAATACTGAATAGTTTATAATATTACCAAAAGTTACAAGTTGAAAGCTAAAAGCTTTTAAATGTGATTTTTACTTGAAACAAGGTCACTGTTCTTAGGCTTTATCAATGTATTGCACTTACCTCCAGTGAGGAGTCCTAACTGAAAGCATTAGTTAAATAATATTGTGTGTCATGTTGCAGTATAGAATATTATGCACACTGTGCAAATTACCAAATCAGCAGTAAAGTTAAATTGTGACTGAGCTGGCATTTTGTTAAGATTTAGCTTTGCCTTCAAGTAATTCGTGGTCTTCTAATGCTTGGTTCTGCACTTCAGCCATTAAGACTTGCCCTTTTAGCATCCTGTTGCAACATAAATGATCTGTACAGACTGATTTGCCGAGTAGCAAAATATTTGTCTATGCTTACACATACCAGTAGAGGCCACTATACACCACCTTAAATCAATTAACAAACTTGGTAGTTAATATGATGGAAATGAGTGATGGGGCTAGACGCTGGGCTTGTAGTCTTCCTGCACCAATTGTTACGCTAGCCGAAACATAAGAGCAACTTTTGCATGTTATGCAGAGACACTTCTACACAACAGATTACTCGTAAGAAGTTTGCAGTGTCATTATGACTGTGTTAACTCGCCTACTGTGGTTTTGGTAACAAAATATGGAAAAACATTTTTTTGGGAGGATGGGTTTGGTATTTTTTAAAGCAGAGTGAAGGGATTATTTTACATTAAAAGTGTTTTTGTTTTGGTTTTTTGTTTTTAAGGTCCAAGTCACCATATAGTGCTTCATCTTACTCTAGAAGCTCATATACCTACTCTAAGTCAAGATCAGGTTCATCCCGCTCCCGTTCCTACTCTCGATCCTTTAGTCGCTCACACTCTCGTTCATACTCACGATCACCTCCATACCCTAGAAGAGGCAGGGGGAAGAGTCGTAACTATCGTTCTAGGTCAAGGTCCCATGGATATCATCGTTCAAGATCAAGGTCACCCCCATATAGAAGATACCATTCACGATCAAGATCTCCAGTTTTTAGAGGCCAATCCCCCACTAAGCGGACTGTACCTCAAGGAGAGGGGGAGAGAGAATATTTTAACCGGTATAGAGAAGTTCCACCATATGACATGAAAGCATACTATGGCAGATCTGTGGATTTTAGGGATCCATTTGAAAAGGAAAGATACAGAGAATGGGAAAGGAACTATCGAGAGTGGTATGAAAAGTTTTACAAGGGCTATGCTGCTGGAGCTCAGCCTAGACCTCCAGTGACTAGAGAGAACTTTTCTCCAGACCGATTTGGTCCACCAGGATCCAGGCGAGAGAATTCCCCATATGCTCGGGGTCGTAGAGAGGATTTTGCTAGTGGACAAAGCCATAGAAGTCGCAATATAGGTAGCAATTATCCAGAAAAGACTTCAGGCCGAGAAGGCCACAACATTAAAGATCCTACAAAATCAAAGGAAAAGGAAGCTGAAAATCCATCAGGAGATGGCAAAGGAAATAAACATAAAAAGCATAGAAAGAGAAGGAAAGGGGAAGAGAGTGAAGGCTTTCCCAATGCTGAGTTGTTGGAAGGCTCACGAAAGCCCAGAGAGCCTGGTGGGGGGGACGAAATTAAAACAGACTCGCTGTTCATGCTCCCAAGTAGGGATGATGCTACACCTGTCAGAGATGAGCCTATGGAAGCAGATTCTATTGCTTTTAAACCAGTATCTGAAAAGGAGAAAAAAGAGAAAGATAAACCTAAAGTAAAAGTTGACAAGACAAAACGGAAAACAGAAGGAACTGCCACTACCAAGAAAGACAGTTTAGTAAAACCATCTAAAGCACCCCAAGAAAAAGCAGAGGCTGATCGTGAAAAGTCTCCTCGAACTGAGCCTCCTGTGAAAAAAGCAAAGGAGGAGTTACCAAAGACAGACAGTACTAAATCGACTTCATCTCAAAAGGATGAGAAGGCGCTAGGCACACCACGGAAAGTTAACCCAAAAGTGACAAAAGAGCATCCAGAAACCAGACCAGCCAAGGACGAAAAAGCAAAGAAAGAGCATCCAAAAGAATCCAAGCCAGAAAAGCCATCAAGCAAGGAAGAGAAGTCAAAAAAACCGATGGAAAAAAGCAAACCTACTGATACAAAACCTGAAAAAAGAAAAAGAAAGGCAGAGGAAAAGGTAGAAAAGGAACATGAAACCACTTCATTAAAAACCTCTAAAGCAGAAGTTGCTGAAGTGAAACCATCACCAAAGGGAAAAACTGAGCCTGATGATGAAAGAGCAGAGAGATCCCCTGAAAAGGACAAAGGTGCTTCTCTGATTGCCCCAGCAAAAAAGATTAAACTAAACCGAGAAACGGGCAAAAAGATTGTAAGTGGGGAAAATGTACCTCCTACAAAAGAACCTGCCGAGAAACCTGAGCCACCCAGTAGCAAAGTTAAACAAGAAAAAGTGAAAGGAAAAATGAGAAGAAAAGTAACAGCAGCTGATGGATCCAGTTCAACTCTTGTAGATTACACCAGGTACCTTCTGATTTCCTCTTTGTTCGTTTTCTCTTCTGCTCTCCATAAAATAAAATCTTTGAGTTGTCTAGTGACAGGAACAACTAAATTGATAATAAAATGAGCATATGAACCACAATCAAGCAATGGTAGTGTTATACTACAGGTTGAACTTCTCTAATCCGGCACTCCCTGGTCTGGCAACATCTGTGGTCCGGCATAGGCTGGAGCACCCACGGGGAAAAATGAGTGGGTGCGGAGCATCCACTGTTGCCAGGCTCCGCCCTCCACCAGTGCCTCTTGCGTGCGGCGGCCTCATGCTTATCTCCTCCTCCTCCCTCCTAGCGCTTCTGGAGTGCCACGAACAGCTGATTTGCAGCGTTCAAGCTGGGGGTGGGGACCTGGGGCCAGCAGCTGGGACCTGGGGCTGTCATCAGAGCCCCTGGGTGGGGGGCCGGTGACAGGGACCCTGGGTGGCAGCTGGGCCCTCGGGTGGGAGGCCACACTTGGCGCAAAGCCTGGGGGTGCTGCAGCACCCCTGCACCCCTACTTCGAATGCCAGTGGAGACGCCTGGCACTCTGCATTAACTTCCCGTGGTTCGGCAAATTACCTGGTTTGGCCCCAGTCAGGTCCCGAGGGTACCGGATGGATTAGAGAGGTTCAACCTGTGCAAACTCTTGTAGTGTCGGGGCTTGACTACCAGAACATTTAGTTCACAGCAAGCTGGGGTCTGACCCTGCTGAGGCACACTAACAGTTTAATGCACTTTTATCTGGTCCTCTTTGAAATGGAACTAGATCAAAGCACGTTAATGAACTGTTAATGCACATCAGCAGGGTCCACATGGACAATTAGGGCTTGTCTAAACACAAACTGCTATAGTGGCGCACAGCTGCAGTGCTTCAGTGAAGATGTTACCTGAACTTCGGGGAAGGGTTCTCCCTTTGTGATAAGTGCTCCGCCTCCCCAAGAGGCAGTGGCTAGGTCAGCGGGAGAATTCTCCCATTCACCTCGCACTGTTCTACACCCAGATTAGGTCAGTTTAATTGCATTGCTCAGGGGTATGGATTTTCACACCCCTGAGCAATGTAGTTATGCCGACCTGATTTCCACGTGTAGACCAGGCCTTAGTCTGCAGCAGGCTAGTGTGGGGCTAGATTCATACCCCAATTTGCTGTGAACGAATTGTTCCTATAGACTAGCCCTTAAACTACAATCTAATCTATTAAAAATCAAACTTGTGTAAAACAAGCAGATGCTTTGAGCGAAATCCTTGAATTCAGACAAGTTCCACTCCACGCAGGACCCAGGTTGGGGGTGCAGAGATACACCACCTGATGCTGCGGCTGCTTCCCATCTATCACCTACTCATGTATAGTATTGCCCAATTGGCGGTGTGTACTATGCCTCATTTATTGTGGGGGCTGGGAAGAACATGTCGCTGTCCTTTGTTCCATCAGGTGTGGCTACTGCTAAAAACAAGATAATACTCATCCAGGATGGGAGATTTGGATTACTGTAACATGCATTTTAAAAATAAATGTGATATCTGGAAAAAAACCTAACACAAAGGTGGCCTGGGTCAGCTGGACAGATGAAAATTAGAGTATCATTGGTTGCTGAACTGCAAGTTGAAGAGGACTATCTTATCTGTCTAGTACTGGTAGAACTAGGGGACACAGGAATTACAGACAAGAGATTCCCCAATCTCATGATCTAGTGCATAAACTAATTAAATGCATAGTAGGGAGAAGCTATATTAATTTATTGCTCGTAATTCTTACCCTGTGGAATCATCCTCTCTTGCCCACTTTTATAATATGAATTTGTTTGGAAGGAATATTGAAGATTTAGAGTTTAAATTGTGAAATTAAACAAAAACCACTTTATAGAGTATATCACTTTGATTAACAAAAATAATCTGCTGTAACTGGATTTTAGGTCTTTATTAATGTATATATTTTACTTCTCCTTCCCCCCCACCCCTCCACCATAGCACTAGCTCTACTGGAGGCAGCCCTGTTAGAAAGTCAGAAGAAAAGCCAGACGCAAAACGAACGGTCATTAAGACAATGGAAGAGTATAATAATGATATAACAGCCCCTGCTGAAGATGTCATTATTATGATTCAGGTTCCTCAGTCAAAGTGGGATAAAGATGACTTTGAGTCTGAAGAGGAAGACGTTAAATCTACACAAACACCTTCAAATGTAGGAAAACCTGCTAGTGTTGTAAAAAATGTCAGTGCTAAGCCCACAAACCCTGTGAAACACAATGAAAAAGAAAATGAGCCTTTGGAAAAAACACAGAAAACTGCAAAAGAAGCAAATTATGAAAGCTCCCAGCATGAAGCAAAAAGTTCAAAAAGTTCTGTGTCAAATGAAAAAGGGAAAACCAAAGAGCGGGATCATTCTGTGTCAGACAAGGACACTTCTGAGAGAAGGAAGAGCAATGTTCAACCAGAAAAAGGCCACTCAGAACGTGGGACTGAACAAGGAAACCTAAAAAACCTTTCTCAATCTTCCAAAGACAGCAGATCTTCAGATAAACATGATATTGGGCGTGGCTCTTCCACTAGAGATTTTACTCCTAACAGGGACAAAAAATCTGACCATGATAGCAGCAGGGATCATTCTAGTTTCAAGCGTAGAGATGAAAAGAATGAGTTAACAAGGAGAAAAGACTCCCCTTCTCGAAATAGAGAGTCTGCATCAGGCCAGAAGAGTAAACCAAGAGAAGAACGTACAGAATTGTCCAAAAAGGGAACCGTAGAGTCCAAAAGGAGCAGCTATAGTCCTCAGAGGGACAGAAGACAGCATGATCACAAAACAGCATATGAGTCCAAACGTTCATCTGACGAACACAAATCTCTAGATAGAAGTTCGGGTAAAGAGAGAGAGAAACACATAACGGAAACAAAGAGCAATAAAGACAGAGACACAAGTGGCAATAAATCATCTTACAAACATGGATCACCGGATGCAAAAAATGAGAGAGAACATGCTACTGGGCAAAGTGACAAGAGCACCATCAAACCTAAGCCTCCGTTAAGCCACTCCTCTCGACTCTCTTCTGACTTAACTAGAGAAACTGATGAGGCTGCATTTGTACCAGACTACAATGAAAGTGACAGCGAGAGTAATGTGTCGACAAAAGATGAAGACTCTATAGGAAGAAATACTAGAGAACTGAAAGAAAAGGCAGTGGATAAAACGAAAGAGACTGCAGTTAAAGCAACGCTTGGCCAACCTGGCGTAAGTAGAAACCAGAGTCAAAGTAGTCCCAGTGTTAGCCGCAGTCGTAGTCAGAGCCCTTCTGAAAGTCAGACTCGGAGCCACAGCAGCAGCGCAAGCTCAGCAGAGAGTCAGGACAGCAAGAAAAAGAAAAAGAAAAAAGACAAAAAGAAACATAAGAAGCATAAAAAACACAAGAAACATAAGAAACACACTGGAAATGAATCTGAATTGGAGAAAAGCCAAAAACACAAACACAAGAAGAAAAAATCCAAGAAGAGCAAAGATAAAGAAAAGGAGAAAGAGAAAGATGACCAAAAAGTGAAATCTGTCGCTGTATAAAATGACAGATAAGAAAAATTGACTTAATTATTAAGTCATCTGTATTAAATTTTGTTATAATGTAAACAAATTCAAGCTTTGTAAATAATGACATGAAAGACCCTGTGCTGCACTTAAAATACTGCTGCTTGATTATTTGATTTTTACATCAGAGCTTTATAAAGTGAACATTTTGTACAGAATTGTGAGTTGTGACCATGTAACATGAAAGGTTTTGCTAAGGCATCTTATTTTTAACCACCGTTAATTAGTTTGGGTGGAGTTTACTGTACTGTGAAAATTTTCACATTTGAATTTTTTTTAATTGCCTGGCAGAAAAAGCTGATATCCGTTCTGAAATATCAGCAGAATGATTTGCAGAATACGTTACAGCCCTGTTATGTCACTTTTTGATTACAATAAAAAGTTTTCAGTAAACTTTATTCAATGTGATGGAATTTGCAATAGTAGCTGAACATAAACAGGGTATGGATAAGAACAGCAGCAGACAAAAATGACAAATAAAAGCTTTTAGGCAGCCGAAATGTACTGAACATAACAGTTCTAACCTTTTTTTTAAAAAAAAAAAAAAAAACAGTAGAACATGAGGAAAGTTTTGAGCTGAGCTAATAAGGGTGGTGTTGCAAAAAAGCTTTTTTTATGTGCCAGGTTATGCCAACTAGATGTTTTTATATTTAAAAAGGTATATTACCTGAATAAATAGCCACTCTACGTAGCCGGTACTGACTCTTAAAAATGTCATATATATGAAGCTGTCACATGTCAACATTGTTCCAATTTATGTTAAAGAGCCATTGCCACACTCTGGCAAATGTTTACAAATGTATTTTGGGAAACATGTCCTATATTCTGTATTTCCTTTTGTATCATTGCTGATCACCAAGATATTTGTGTCTTCAGAATAGAAGCTTTTGCTTTATAATGGGCTGTTTTATACTGTGATGACACAGTTCCTTGTATATCATCATGGAAGTGACTTATCGCTACCATTGAATTTTGGGGTTCGTGAATAAGTTTGTCAAGAGGAAGAAGCCAATTAGAAAGGCAAGTTTTTTATATAAACATTTCTGAATGGTGAGAGGAAATGCAGAAAAAGTGTAAAAGTAATGATTTTGATAATGTAAAGACCTATAGCGTCACTTTCTTTTATTAAAGTGACAGCAGTGTTGTTCAACAGTTGGAAAGTTAACATGGTGAGAAGTAATTTTCACTGTGAATTAAGAGCCAAATCCTGATAACCAGTTGAAGCTGGTGGCAAAACTCCTTGACTTCAGTGGCTCTGGGATTTGATCTAAACTGAGTTTTGTTTGAAACTATTTAAATTAAAAGTGGCATTTCAGGGCTTCCTGTTTGTGGAGACTATTTTCTTCAAAAGTGGCATTGTTTGTGGTGGCAGCAGTTTGACAAGTCAAGCAGGAGAGAAAGTAAACTCGTTCCAGCCTGTTTACAGGGGGGCCTTCGTGCAGTAAGCATTGGCTTAAAGATGAGCATTCAGGTGCTTGTGCTAGCTAAAACAATAGTAAATCAGGATGAATTTTGGACTGCATTTTCCAGCAGCAAATTTCCCATTTTTATGGTAAGGCATTTTTCTTACGGTGGACTTAAGGAATCTTCTGCTGTACAAAGGAGTAGCAGATTTTAGGGATAAGGCAGTCAAATTTTTGCTTTGAAGAATCAAAACAATTATGCAAATGTATAAGGAAGTAGAATTGTTGCATGCACCTCTTTCTAAATGTTCCTACATTCCAATCCAGTGCAGCTATTTCATAGCTAAGTACGCAGCAAATGTGCTGGTATTCAAATGCATCTGTAAAACTGACCTCTTCTATTCTCTGTGTTCCTGTATCTCTTACTCACTAGAGTGATGCCACTGAAAATGGAAAAGGATTCACCACTATGGCCCTGTACAGCAGCCTTCTTCAGGCCTCAGTTAAATTCTTAAAACTCCAGTTAGAAGAAAATGTTAACATGCTCTTTATTGTCTAGGCTCAAAATAAAACATCTGTTTAGCAGTTAGGTTTTGGAAGTTGAATACAACCATGTGCCTTCACAAAAAAGACAAGATGCTGTAGTTCTTCATAACCCAATGCTAAAAAAACTCTCAACGCTGCTGTTTTTAGAACTTCAGTTTATATATCCTTTGCTGTCAGAGCTGTAAAACCTACGTTAGGGTTTTTCAGGAGATTTTTCGCACTTGTCTCCAGTGAATTTTGAGGTAATATGTGCAGAATCTCTGTGATCACCTATCTTCCTTTACAAATTTCTTGGGATGGAAAAGACTGAAATACAGCTGTTGTGTTCAATCCTAAATGTAAGAGCATTCGGTACCACTGTCGCTTTTGAGCAACCTTTTATATCCAACAAATTTCTGAAGGAAATGTGATTTGGTATTAATGTATTCTGTTTTCATGCAATCCATAGTGTGCTATGAAGGGAGTAGCTCCAAACATGTTTTCTAGACTTGTGGGGTCAAATTAATCTCTGGTGCAACTCCAGTGACTTCAATGTAGTGAAACTGAGATGTCCTTAACCAAGAATGTCGAGAGCTGGATGCACACAGCAAAAGATGCTTGTTTCTAACATCTAAACCAGCTTTTCAAATTTTGTCAAAATAGCCAAGTTCCTTTGATATATATCGCTTCAACAGAATGACCTATGAGAGTTTCTGGCTTCCAACCTTGGGAAAATCCACTAGTGTTCCATCTGGTCTAGGGTTTTGTTTATTATTGAAGGGTCTCTCTCCTTGATCCAGTCTTTAATCAGCCATCAGAATGCATTTGCAATACAGAAGGAATTAGATATTTGATGCTGTGATTTGAGCTGAACATGGAATGGGCTGTCAGAATGAAATGTGGTACTTTAAGGTAAAAGTGCAGGAATTGGAGATGTGGAGATGGCTCTCATGAACTGCAGAGGACCTTATTGCCTTTGCGATCTATTCGGCACAGTTAAATATTGAAAGTGGCTTTGCAATCAGTGATCACTTCAGTTTTAGAAGCTGATAAATGTTTAGCAACTAAGGCTCCCTCCACCCACCTACATCTGTTTTTATTGGTGTTCCAGAGATTGTAAGTGCTCAGCCATTACCTGAAGGTATGGAGGTGTGAGGCTTGTCTCTTTACTGAACAACTCTCCCAAAAGCATGTTAGATGTTAACAAAAATGAACTGAAATAAGAGCTTTGAACAGTATGATTAAAACTAATTCTTTCTAAAATCAGACTTCACTATTTCTGCCATAAACTTACTAGTCCTGTATTAACCATCAGTTCTTCCAATCTGAATGTTTAACGCAAAAACAACCCCCCCCCCCCAACACACACCCCTATGGGGGGGGGGCCAACAAAAAGACCAATCTGAATACACCTGTCAGCCCCACTAGGCTTGCTTTGTACACAGTGTATGTTGTTGTCACTGCCCTCGCTAAGGCCAGCCAGGTGATCACATTTCATGCAACTGCTGGAAGAACTGGCATTGGGCTGGTGACAATTGGCTCTAGAAACTACAGTCACATTAGTTGAAATACAATGATGCAACAGAAAGAGACCACAAAACGTCATCTGTCCAGTGAGGTATTGATCCTGAAACTGGGAATTTATAAGCTTGAAGACCACTACCCTGCCTCTGCAGCAAAAATAAATATTCAATGCAAAATATACTGCCTATTATGCCTCTGGATAAAGGTTTTGAAAAACTTTTTGGAGATCTAGAGAAACATGCCCTGGCCTTTAACTACATTGGTTTCCTAAGTCCCAATTGTCAGTGAAATGTGTACCTGTTTTAATCCCTCTTCTGAGAACATGGTACCACTGAGTGCAGAAGATTGAGGGCTGCTTCTCACACCCACCACACACGCACTTCCTCCCCACCCACCCCACCCCCCACTTACTCATGCACAGGTGGTTTAAAAATAACCCTTTAAAATGTATATTGTGGTATTACCCAGAGACTTCAGTCAAGGCTGGGGCCCTGGTAGAGTTGGGAACTGCAAGAATGGCCAATCCCGTAAGAACATACCTTGTTAGAGCGGAGCTCCCAAAGAAGTCTGTTGTGCACTGACTGGTTTAGTGTGCCGACTCATCTTGGCACTAAGTTGTGCTAGAAGAAGTTAAACATACCTGGATTGCTAGTTTTAGCTGATTGCTTCTGTAACTTATGACACAGATGCCTCCACTCTAAGGTATCTTTGTACATTTTTATAAATGTAAATTTAAATACTACTACTGGTTTCCATGTAAACACTACTTGTAGTTGGCACAGGGATGTTTAATTGCCAATAACAGATGGCCCTTAAGGCAATCTCTCTTTTCAGATCTAGTCTATGCTATGAAAAGAAAATTAAAGCCCTTGTATTAGATAATGCCTCCATGTAGTGTCTCTGCTCCCCATCTCTAGTGTTTGGTAAGCTCTGGCCAGGAGCGTCTGCATCTTGTTTTGTACGGTGCTTAATAAATGAAATAGTCGAGAGATGTAAAGATGGTATACGTGCAAGATCCTACCAGTTATTATAAAGCACTGGAATGTTCTGAAATTAGTATATGAAACTCAGATATGGGAAAGCATTTAAACCCCTCATTCCCCATTAATGGCTGCTTGGTGCTAGATACATACCTTAATGTGCTGGGGCAAGAATCAAAAACTCCAAAACTGCTTGTGTCTCCTCTCAGACCTTGAGCTCCCTGCCAGCCTTAAAGGAGAATGGAGACTGGTATCAGGAGGGGGGGGGAATTTCAAGCAAAGGTTTGAGTCCCACGATATAAAGCCTGAAATTTACACTGGAAGTCATCCAGCTAAATAGGAATTTGATGCACTACATGGTCTTTCCTTATGTTGCCACAATGGCCGCCTTATAATTACAGGCATTGTGCTCTATTTTTTATGGTATCTTTTGTTTTCTTCCATCTCCTGTAATGTTCCACACCCCGAAGCAGCATCAGCAGTGCAACCGATTCCACTCCACATAGTCTTCAATTAAGTTATGGTTGGTGGGGGTGGGGAGAAATTGCCATTAATTTCTACCTGCACTCTGAAAGTCTATAAAGCTACACTGTTTCTCACTGCATTTTTTTAGGCTTCTCCCTGCGGTTGAACACAAGCTAGGACGTACAGTGTTTGAGGAAGTCAGGTAGCAGAGATGAGAGGTGGTAAAAACCATTTAAAAGTTAGGGTCTGTACTGGAGGGGGAGCATTAAGCTTTGCTGTGAGTGTCGTCACTGTATACTGAATACTGGGAAGAAATCTAGTGTAAGGTACGGTAGCCTTTGTGAGCTTTATCCAGCACTCTTCGTGTGGGCCCTGGGTCAACATACAGTCTTCAGCCTCTACAGCTGCAAACTCACTGGTTAGAGTCTGACTTAACCACATGCTGGCTTCTTTAGGGAGACTTACGAGAAACATTCCAAGTAGCAATAATTCCACTTGAACCTAATGTTAAATTCTCTGCTTTTCTCTCTCCAGTAATAATCTACCTCCCCATGAAAAATAAGGCTGGTGTTAAGCTCCTTTACTACTCACCATGTGAGCTCCCAGCCCTCCATGGGTCATCCAGTGCATGGATTGGGCTTAGTGTGACAAAGTGATGCTGTAACAGCAAGCAGAACTATGTGAGTGTGCTTGTGATTCAAAACAACGAGCCATGACAGCAGATGAGGAAGGTCAGGACAGCCCATGCTTTGTGTGTTTACAGCAACACCAACAAAAAGACATAGCAAAGCTTCTATTGTCCTGGGGCACTATGCTGCACTACAGTGCGTGGGTGCATTTCTCTGGTGCACTGGAACTGCAGCCATTAGAGACCCTGGCCGTAGGCTGCATTTACTGTTTGTAACGCTCATCAATGGTATCTGACTGGCACCAAGGCCTAAAGCTGAGCTATTCAGCCCTCTGCTAGCTTGCCCCTCTCTTCACAGCCACTCCCGCTGGGGGTGGCTGTGCTGGGTTGTGTGCAGTGTTGCTACATAAAGCCAAAGGGGTGTGATTATTCGTACAGAGCTGAGGTGCGGGTGCACGGCTTTTGATGGGTAAAGATGACGTAGGCCCTGCCCCCAGGAGCTTGCACTCCACCTTAGACTTAAAGCAAATGAGAAGTACAGGTGGGGAGGAGCTCACAGGGACTGGGGCAATCTGTGCAGGGAGCTCTGTCTGAGCTTTGTGCAACTCCCTTCAGGGATCCCAGAGGTGGGGAAGCAGGGAACTTTTAAGGAGCCCTTTCAACAATAATTTCCTAATGATTCTTGTAAATAAAGTAGATGCAAGGCAAGGCCCCGTGTGGCCGCTTGGGACTTGGTATCAAGCCCTGCTGGTGCATAGGAGAGTGGAAGCCTGAGTGGGGAAAGTGGATGCTGGTG